CCTGAAACCGGGGCCCCAAGAGACCCAACCGGAACCAACGCTGCGAGCCCAACGAGCTCAACGAGCGCGCCAGGCGTCGCAGCGGCCTCGCCAACTTCGGGAAAGCCAATTGACTTCAGCCAATCCTCTCAGAGTTTCTCGGACGTTGGGCACTGCCGGAGTGGAGCACCCATATCTACATTATATGTTCTAAACATGCTACATGTATATCTAGCAATGCTAGTAATTGCAAAAATGATCAATATCATACATGTATCTACAAAAAATATAAAAAAAAATTACACCAGCGTAGACCCCAGATAGCACATCACGGCTACGAACCATTATGCAGCATCATAATGGTTTTCGAGGCATCATGATGATGTTGACAGCATCATGATGATGTTGAAAGCACCATGATGATACCACAGCCACTCAGCATGTGCGCTAAATAGACACGAAGACAGCGTCCTAATGAGTTCAGCAGCAAAAATGAAGATATTGACAGCATCATGCTGATGCACCAGCAACGAACGATTCCGCGCCACATATCTAGCAGAAAAATGGCAGAGACGACGTCCTGATGAGTTCGACAGCATCATGATGATGCGGACAGCATGACGATCATACGGACAGCACCACCATGATGCGGACAGCATCATGGTGATGCGAACAGCATCATGGTAATGGTAAAATTGAAAAGGCAGCATCATGATGATACCACAGCCACGAATCTTCTCGCGACAGCGTAGTGAAATTCAGCATCATCCTGATGTTGACAGTAATCATGGCGCCACCACACCCACGAACCATAACGCAGCATCGCAGCATCGCAGTGACAGCAGCATCATGACGCGGGTGACAACATCATGATGACACACCAGCCAGACTACTAGAGCAGCAACAACGTCCGAACCGGTTCAACGGCATCATGAAACAGCACCCGCCCTAGCACCTTGCCGTCCATATGCGCCCACACCGTCACCAACACCTCAAGACAGCAGCCCCAACAGCACCCCAACGCAGCACCCGCACCAGCATGGTCCCCGAGCACCGAGCGCCTTGCCGTCACGTACTGTCACCAGCCCGAACAGCGCCTCAAAACTGTACCTGCGCCAGCGCCCCAAAGTGCATGCCCCCTAGCTCCCAACCGTCGATCTTGCAAAACAATCCCACTTCTTCATTAGAAGTTAGAACCCCGGCAACCCAACACAGCAGTTGCACCACCACCCCAAACTGCGTCAAGCTCGCAAAACAGCACCAGCACCCCGAACTACACTGGCACCCGGCCGTCAATCTCGCAAAACAGCACCTCCACCAACACCCCAAACCGCATGCCCCCTAGCACCCGGCCATCACTCTCGCAAAACAGCACCTCCGCACCAACACCCCAAACTGAATGCCTTTAGCGCCCGGCCAACTCTCGCAAAACAGCACCTCCACTAACACCCCAAACTGCATGCCCCCTAGCACCCGGCCATCACTCTCGCAAAGCAACACCTCCACCAGCACCCACTGCATGCCCCGTAGCGCTCGGCCATCAATCTCGCAAAGCACACCTGGCACCCGGCCGTCAATCAGCACCTCCACCATCACTGTCGCAGAACAGCACCTCCACTAGCACCCCAAACTGCATGCCCCCTAGCACCCGGCCATGCAAAACAGCACCTCCACCAACACCCCAAACTGCCTGCCCCCTAGCACCCGGCCATCACTCTCGCAAAACAGCACTCTCCACTAGCAGCATGCCCCCTAGCACCCGGCCATCACTCTCGCAAAACAGCACCTCCACCAACACCCCAAACTGCATGCCCCCTAGCACCCGGCCATCACTCTCGCAAATCAGCACCTCCACCAAATCCAAACTGCATGCCCCTAGCGCCCGGCCGTCAAGCTCTCGCAAAACAGCACCTCCGCCAGCGCCCCAAACTGCATGCCACCCGGCCGTCAATCTCGCAAAACAACACCTCCACCAACACCCCAAATTGCATGCCCCCTAGCACCCGACCATCACTCTCGCAAAACAGCACCTCCACTACCAGCACCCCAAGCTGCCTGCCCCCTGGCACCCGGCCGTCAAGCTCGCAAAGCAGCACCTCCACCAGCGCCCCAAACTGCATGCCCCCTAGCACCCGGCCCTCAATCTCGCAAATCATTTTTCCTTCTTTATTAGAAGTTAGAACCCCTATAGCTTTCAGCTATCTGGGGAAAAAATTACACCAGCGTAGACCCCAGATAGCACATCACGGCTACGAACCATTATGCAGCATCATAATGGTTTTCGAGGCATCATGATGATGTTGACAGCATCATGATGATGTTGAAAGCACCATGATGATACCACAGCCACTCAGCATGTGCGCTAAATAGACACGAAGACAGCGTCCTAATGAGTTCAGCAGCAAAAATGAAGATATTGACAGCATCATGCTGATGCACCAGCAACGAACGATTCCGCGCCACATATCTAGCAGAAAAATGGCAGAGACGACGTCCTGATGAGTTCGACAGCATCATGATGATGCGGACAGCATGACGATCATACGGACAGCACCACCATGATGCGGACAGCATCATGGTGATGCGAACAGCATCATGGTAATGGTAAAATTGAAAAGGCAGCATCATGATGATACCACAGCCACGAATCTTCTCGCGACAGCGTAGTGAAATTCAGCATCATCCTGATGTTGACAGTAATCATGGCGCCACCACACCCACGAACCATAACGCAGCATCGCAGCATCGCAGTGACAGCAGCATCATGACGCGGGTGACAACATCATGATGACACACCAGCCAGACTACTAGAGCAGCAACAACGTCCGAACCGGTTCAACGGCATCATGAAACAGCACCCGCCCTAGCACCTTGCCGTCCATATGCGCCCACACCGTCACCAACACCTCAAGACAGCAGCCCCAACAGCACCCCAACGCAGCACCCGCACCAGCATGGTCCCCGAGCACCGAGCGCCTTGCCGTCACGTACTGTCACCAGCCCGAACAGCACCTCAAAACTGTACCTGCGCCAGCGCCCCAAAGTGCATGCCCCCTAGCTCCCAACCGTCGATCTTGCAAAACAATCCCACTTCTTCATTAGAAGTTAGAACCCCGGCAACCCAACACAGCAGTTGCACCACCACCCCAAACTGCGTCAAGCTCGCAAAACAGCACCAGCACCCCGAACTACACTGGCACCCGGCCGTCAATCTCGCAAAACAGCACCTCCACCAACACCCGAAACCGCATGCCCCCTAGCACCCGGCCATCACTCTCGCAAAACAGCACCTCCACCAACACCCCAAACTGAATGCCTTTAGCGCCCGGCCAACTCTCGCAAAACAGCACCTCCACTAACACCCCAAACTGCATGCCCCCTAGCACCCGGCCATCACTCTCGCAAAGCAACACCTCCACCAGCACCCACTGCATGCCCCGTAGCGCTCGGCCATCAATCTCGCAAAGCACCTTCACCAGCACGTCACACCTGGCACCCGGCCGTCAATCAGCACCTCCACCATCACTGTCGCAGAACAGCACCTCCACTAGCACCCCAAACTGCCCCCCTAGGCCATGCAAAACAGCACCTCCACCAACACCCCAAACTGCCTGCCCCCTAGCACCCGGCCATCACTCTCGCAAAACAGCACCTCCACTAGCAGCATGCCCCCTAGCACCCGGCCATCACTCTCGCAAAACAGCACCTCCACCAACACCCCAAACTGCATGCCCCCTAGCACCCGGCCATCACTCTCGCAAAACAGCACCTCCACCAACACCCAAACTGCATGCCCCCTAGCGCCCGGCCGTCAAGCTCGCAAAACAGCACCTCCACCAGCACCCCAAACTGCATGCCAGCACCCTGCCATCACTCTCGCAAAACAGCACCTCCACCAACACCCCAAACTGCATGCCCCCTAGCACCCGGCCATCACTCTCGCAAAACAGCACCTCCGCCAGCGCCCCAAACTGCATGCCACCCGGCCGTCAATCTCGCAAAACAGCACCTCCACCAACACCCCAAATTGCATGCCCCCTAGCACCCGACCATCACTCTCGCAAAACAGCACCTCCACTACCAGCACCCCAAGCTGCCTGCCCCCTGGCACCCGGCCGTCAAGCTCGCAAAGCAGCACCTCCACCAGCGCCCCAAACTGCATGCCCCCTAGCACCCGGCCCTCAATCTCGCAAATCATTTTTCCTTCTTTATTAGAAGTTAGAACCCCTATAGCTTTCAGCTATCTGGGGAAATACATCAGTGAAGACAACTGCAAAAACTCCTCTGGCCCCGCCAGTCAAGTCACTCTTGACGGGTTACCTGTGAAATCCTCATCACTTAAGTTGCCCAAACCTGCCTGGACCAAACAGCCCACAAACAACAATGCACAACTCATCCAAACCTGTAGGACCTTGAGTGTGACGATCCGTGACGATCCGCTGTGATGTTTGCATTGTGTGAATCGGGGTGACAAGACGGTCCCCTTTTCCTGGCCAGACTGCAATCGGACATGTACGAACAGCACAAGGATGAACTTCTTCCTGCGCAATACATCACACACATAAAGGGGATCCTTCCCCTTCCCGTCCTGGACCTGAGCCGGCGACAGGTCGGGGGCCTCCTCGGCCTCCTCGTTCGTCGTTCTCTTCCGGCGCTTCAGCCCGCTTTTCCGAATCACCTCGCTGGGCACGCGGTACGACATCGCTCTCTTCGGGGCAGCTGATCTGCCTCTGGCCCAGTTCTGGGCTATGTTCAGTTTAGTCGCCGAATTGAGCAACCAATGAGTTTGCATTCTTGAAGAAGCAAAACACGTTTTTTAGAGCCGCTGGGAATGCTGGGTGTGCTTGCGCCGGGTGCGAGCAAAAAGGGAAGGCGCCCTTCCAAGTTTGAGCCGGGACGTTGGCACGGCTCGTGTCAGCACTCTGCCATCCGCCGGGTCTGATGGTTACCGCGGGCTCAACCTGCCCCTACGTCCGCCTACGTCGGATGCCCCGCAGTTCGCGTCAAGGAGTTTCAATCTCCTCGGCGTTGAACAGGTTGGGCACTTCACCCGTGTTCAGAAGCCCGGAGACCTTCCGTGCCGAAGACTCGAACCGAACCGCAAGTGTTGCAAGGCCAGCTTCGGCCTCTTCCACAAAGTTTTCATTGGCAATCTGCGTGTCTGGCAGAAGGAAGCAAACCTGGCCGACATATCTTGACACCCTTGGCCCTTGGTGCACATTGCCTAAAAGATGCTCCCACGACTAGAAGCCTCCTTCATCTGTCCGCCGCAACGGATGAGCAACCTTTTCAGATCTTCATGCCAGTCCTTGCCATGGCAAACAAATCGATATCGGCAATGACAAAAGGCCAAAATGGAACAAGCAAAAGGCAGCAGGCAGCTTTTCACAAGCGCCCCACGTTCATACCATAGCTCTTGGTGATCTCGATCTGGAACGTCTCCTTTCAGTCAGGAAGCAATCGATGCGCCGGTCCGCTGCAAACTTTTTTGCAAAACCTGAACTCTTGTTGGGAACCTCCCCCCTCCACTAGTGCTCCCCGCGAGGAAGGAGTCCCTTCTTTTACCCTACCTTTCAATCGGTGGTTTGGTTGGGTGCGAACGTTGAGCGATTTGGTTTCGGACGGATTTGAACCCCAAACCACCGATCCAAATGACCGATTGGGGTAACCTGACTCTTCAGAAGTGGCAAGATTCGTCAGGAGTCCACATCAGCCATGTTCAAGGCTTTGTCCCCATGCCTGCTCTGCCACAAAGGCTGCGAGGGTGGCCAAACTCTTCCGGCCGCTGCCGCCCACGCCGACCTGGCCACTGGCGTGGTGGCAAGTGGACACCCGTTGCTGTTTCCCTGGAAGAAAACATTGACAACTTGGCCATCTGATATGTCTGTCGGATGGCGCATCGCAGCTGGGCTGACACAACGGCAGCCGCCCTTGGCAAAAGGTACCCAATGCCGGGCAGGCCAACAAGGCATTGCCCAGCGGAGTCTTCAGCACGCGCACCTCACACACGAATTCGGCGGTAAGGGAAACCGCGAGGTCAGGGAACAACATGTGGGATAGCACAGAACATGGTGGACCTGGAAACAAGACATTATCCTTCCCTTTTCTGATTCTTTCACAATCACGTCATAAATGCATAGCAAATTTCAGGTTGGCAACTCGGCAATTTCTCATCTTTTGGGGCTGCGACCATCTGGCTGACATGCTGCGCCGCTGCCATGAAGAGCACAAGGTCCATGCCTCGCTTGGCCTCAGCCCGCGGTTTGCTCGGCATCCATCCGTAGAACTACAGAAGGAACTCAAAAAGGTTTCCCCAAAGGGAGATTCTTGCCTTCTTTAGTTTTGCTCGAGCCCAGGATCCCATCTGTAAAAGAAAAAAATAGTTTCATCTTTCCTTTTCCTCATCTTCAGAACCTGTCTCGTTTGCGCCCGCAACGTGATCACCATGCGCACGGCTGAAACTGAACAGGTTCAGTGCTTCACGTGCGCAGTCAAACTCGCAGAACAAGATATACAATTCGCATGCTTTCACTCGCGGTCTACCGCTTGAAACCGAAGGAATCGCCCTGTGTCGTCCAGGCATCTGATCAAGAGTGTACATCAGGTTTGTTGAGCCTTCGGTTTGCCACGGTCACCTGGAAACAAGGCGCCGTCACTGCGTGCGCTCGGCTTTCCGCGCTGCGCAAGCGACCGTCCTCTTTGGTCTAAGCTTGAGCAAAGAAGACACACTTTCTTCGAGTCAAGTCCATGCCTTCATGACAAGAAGGCAAAAAGGGTAGTATGTTAAAAACGCTGGCTGTTGGGGCAGGCGGCTCACATTGTTGTCAATTCGTGGCGAATTTCACATGCGAACGCTTTGCAAACACAGGCTGCGTATGGTCTGAACATGCCGTGGGCATTGGGGACTTTCATCGCTTGTCAAAAAAACTGGGATGCCCAACGGCTCAATTAAGTTAGTGTGTGTGTGTGTTGCGTGTTTGCGTGTTTGCTTGCTTGCTTGCTTGCTTGCTTGCTTGCTTGCTTGCTTGCTTGCTTGCTTGCTTGCTTGCTTGCTTGCTTGCTTGCTTGCTTGCTTGCTTGCTTGCTTGCTTGCTTGCTTGCTTGCTTGCTTGCTTGCTTGCTTGCTTGCTTGCTTGCTTGCTTGCTTGCTTGCTTGCTTGCTTGCTTGCTTGCTTGCTTGCTTGCTTGCTTGCTTGCTTGCTTGCTTGCTTGCTTGCTTGCTTGCTTGCTTGCTTGCTTGCTTGCTTGCTTGCTTGCTTGCTTGCTTGCTTGCTTGCTTGCTTGCTTGCTTGCTTGCTTGCTTGCTTGCTTGCTTGTGTGTGTGTGTGCATGTGCGTGCGTGTTTGCGCCTCTCTCTCTGTCTCTCTGTCGTTGTTTGTGTGGCGCTGTTGCTCTGGGTTTGTGAGTGTGTCATGGGTGCTGCGTGCTGCGTGCTGCCTTTTAGGGTCACCACTATGGCCCAGGCACAAAGGTGCAGGGCCTCCTACCCTTTGCAGCTCCAAGAGAGGGCTGGGAGCAAGGGTTTGAACTCTTTAAAGGGAGATATGGCCATCTCACCATCTCGTTTGCTTCTCACTGAGCGAACCCAGCTTCGAGGGTGTCATTGTGAGAAAGCTCTCCTTCAGTTCAGCAACCTCACATGGCACTCGCCCCTTGCAAGGGTCCCCATCTCATCTGCTTGGTCCATCAGCGATCTCGTTTATTGTCACGCTTCTGAGCCGGGCGTGGCTCGTCATGCGAGGCACGCAAAAATAAAGAGATGAGAAAGCTTGCAGGGGCGCGGAGAAATGATACCAAGGCTGGGGTGCTCTTCAAAAAATGTATTGACGTATTGAGTTCTCGTTCCTTTGCTTCTCGGCTCCCTTTGGTAGCCGGGCCGAGAGGCCTTTTCAGGGCTGCACTTCGTCTTTGAAACGTGTCTGTCGGCGGTCATGCTTGGGGGAAACAGCTTCTGAGCCGTGAGCCATGGTGTTGTACTCCACGAGGCAGTTGTTCAAGACCTGGCACCGGACGACTGACACCGGCCCTGCTGCCATTGGAACTTCGCCTCCAGCAGCTGCGGAGGATCCTCCACCTGCTGGTAGTAGTTGGCCTGGCGTTTGTTTTCTTATTCTGGCCTTGCCTGCGATGCCCCCTTCAAACATCACTGAACCACAAGCGACCTCATTTGAATTTGAGCAAAGCTTCTCACTCTTGAACCAAAGCAAAGACCAGAAAATGATTGTGCAACCCAAGTGAAAGAAGATATATCTTCTGCAAGCGAGCATAGTGCAAGGGCCTTGGGGTCAATGAAGTCGCACCAAATAAGTGGCTCCACCTGCCAGTGCGAAGAGCAGCCCAACCGCGTACAACCCGAGTGCCCGAACTCCGACTCGCCTTCACCAGCGCCTTCCACTCCTTCTTGAAATTCTCCTCAGACACAACAAATTTAAATGGGCGACACAGGGGGGAAATGATGCGAAATCATTTCAAGCGTCAACCGCCCATGGGAAATGATGCGGGGAGGGCCCAAGAGTGAGAGCTCAAAGAGCACCACGAAATCCACGAAACGTTCAATTTTCAAGCAGTCCTTCAGAATGTCGTTGATCTTCGCCTGGAACCACTGCCTAGGTGCACCGGAAATCCGCCATGCGCTCACTGGCTGGGCCCGACAAGCGAATCAAATTCGAGCGCCCAAATGAGCCTTGCATACTCAGCAGTGCCCAGAGCCTGGAGACTTAGACACCTGCAAAACAATGATGACTGTACGATGGTGAAAATTAAACAAGAAAGTGGCAGTTGAGTTTGAGGCGGGTCAAAAACTTCGTGGGTCCCCCTATGTCCCCCTTGTTACCTGTTGCCCTTGTACGTTTGTCAACAGAGGTGTGTCTAGCTAAAATAGGCTGACTTCACGCGCGAGAACGGCGCTGGGCCGAAGGTGCTGGTCGTCTTTGGTGACCAGGCGGTCGAAGAAGACGCGGTGCGCTTCGTGGGCCCAGCACCGCGCCAAGTCGTCGGCGGCCTCCATGGACTTCTTGTGGCACCGGCAGATGCCCAAATGGACCTGAGCACACCAGCTTAGCCGATCGGACATCGACCACACCCGATCTCGGAGTCTTAGGCTGACGACTGAGCCCTCTGGCAACATGGGTTTCTTGGCTGGTCTCTTTTTGAGGGAACCTGCTGAAGGGAAGCAACAGCAAAGTGGGCCTTTGGTGGACACATGTTGGTGGGGGACAAGGGGACTCCCTTCGAAATGTACTGCAACCTTCTGGACATGGGAAAATGAGAGGTTGTCCTGGTGTTGGTGGCTGAGAATTGACATGTCCCTCCCATCCGAATCGCTTGACCAACTTCCGCAACGTCGCACAAAGCGCGAGCCTTGGCCAGGTCCCGGAGGTTGAAGGTGTAGTGACCTCAAATACCATGGGCCAACTGTGCTGTTTGCCCAGAATACCGAAGACCCTGATTCCCTGAGGTTCTCATAATGATTTGAGGGTCTGTTGGCCCAAGTTGGTGGACGTGAGTTAGCATGGGAGCCCTCAATTGTTCATAGCCACTTTGGCAAGCGGCTCTTGGCGGGCGTCGGCAGCATTTCGGCAGACATGTCCTGACACGTGATTGCAAAAGGTCAGCGCCTCCTTTCGGCCTCTCCTCGTAGAGCTGGATCGTGGACTTCACCACCTGAAATGGCCCGATGCACCAGGGTTGGGTCAAACCCCCGTTTGCCCAGTCAAACATCCGTCGCTTGAACAGCCTGTTGGCTCCCTTTGAAAGAGAAAGAGGCGTGGTGACGACGTATGGCACAGGAAGTCAGGGCCATAGCTTCGGAGAGTGGCCCAAGACCGTCCGATGGCTCCCCTAGTTGAATTTGCCAAGAACATGACGCACCTCAAGGACCATACCAATCGGAACGAGGAGATGATGCTTTTTTTGGGGGGAAGAGGACTGCTGACTCGTAGGGGACGGGTCCTTCGTAGGGGCCTGGTCCTCCAGATTCCGCATTCAGCCAGGTGGCTGCGTTGGCGGCTCCCGCCACAGCTCCGGAAAATTTCCCGAGGAACCACTGCATGATGCTTTGGAAGATCCTGCGAAGTTTGCACTTAGTGATTAAATCAATTTGAGTACCTCAGTTTGCCCCATGCAAAAAACAAAAAGAAAACACGTTTTTTGATGGTTGGCCGATAATTAGCAAAAATCAAAATGCAAAATAACGAATCATGACGAGCCTACTATATTGACCTTCTTCCACCAGATTCCCCCCGCTCCTCTGCAAACTTTCCTGCTCAAAGGGTGTGACCTGCGAGCTTCTCTTCTGATTGCGGCAAGCCTGTTGGGGTCTGTCAACATGGGCAGACTACAACATGATGGCTTTCCTTTTGGTTTCCCTGAAATGAGCATCTGACCCTTGTTCACCCCCTACAATTGGACGTTGCCCCAAAATTATGGGGAGATGTCATCTTTTCAAGGTACTTGCGCACTCTCGTTTCAAGCTGAGGCCCAAGCGAAAACCAGGTTGAAGCGGCGCTGGTAGCGGCCCGTCAAAAAGGGCCTAAGGTGCGCAAAAAAAGACCAAGTAAACAGGTGGTTTAAAGATGTGGGGTGTATCCGCCGACCCCTTGTCTGCGAGGGCGTGGGGCCCGGGAAGTGTGTTCTTTCTTGTATGCGTGGACATCAAGCTTCTCATGGCGTTTGACTTCCTATTATCGAGAGGTCCTGTGGAGATGCCAAAAGGGTTGGGATGCAATGACTATCTTTGTACATGTGAGGCACTTGTGATGCTGCGATGCGTAAAGTACTTGCACGTGGACAAGCACGTTGGTGTTAGAGTGGGATGATGCTTTTGAGATCTCATGGCAAAGGCCCAAAAGCAAAAAAGTTGGGATGCGATGTGGGACAAAAAGGAGCGGCGTGCTTGCTGGGCTTGCATCCTTAATGTGTTGTCACTTTGTGTAGCAAAAGCAATTTAGAGGTTGATGCTCATCGTGAAATCTCGATTGAAATGCGTTGCCTACTAAAGCAATAGTTCATCATCTCACTTTTCTAAAAAAGAAAACTTTCTCATTATCATCATCAAAGCTGTCATCGCCTCTTTCTTTCTTATATATACATTTCAACTGTGCTGCTAGGCACCCTTGGTGATATAGGAGATGCTACGAGGATGGTTATCATCAGAGTCGCCATCATCATCACCATCATCATCATCATCATCATCATCATCATCATCATCATCATCATCATCATCATCATCCTCATCATCATCATCATCATCATCATCATCATCGTCACATGGATCATGACAAGCATCATGCATGATGACGATGACAACTATCATCGTAGCACCTCCTGCATCCCCAGCACCATCTATGATAATTGTCATCATCCGTGTCACGATGATGATGATGATGATGATGATGATGATGATGATGATGATGATGATGATGATGATGATGATGATGATGATGATGATGATGTAGCCGGGTGAAAGCTCCGAATCATCCTCATAGTTGTGATCTCCTCTTGCTTTTCTGGCAAAACGGGCGAAAACAGCCCGAAGTGAGGCAGGGGCGCTGCCTGGGAGCACCGTTCGGAGTCGACAAAAACACAGAAAATCACCTCCGGGAGCCCTCAAAGCAAAAACACACGCCAAAAAAACTTTCTCTGAGGCATCGGGAGTTGTAGCCACCCGGTGGCCATGCAAAACCAAATGCAAACAAAAAAGCAGGCACCCAAGTAAGCAGGAGAAACCAAGCAACATGCAAACAAGGACGAAAAAGACAAAAGGCAGGCAAGCAGGCGCCTGGCAGGCAGGCAGGCAGGCAGGCAGGCAGGCAGGCAGGCAGGCAGGCAGGCAGGCAGGCAGGCAGGCAGGCAGGCAGGCAGGCAGGCAGGCATGCAGGCAGGCAGGCAGGCAGGCAGGCAGGCAGGCAGGCAGGCAGGCAGGCGTCCCCGGGAGCACCGAGAAGGATCTGCAAAACGGGCGACGTCGCACAAAAAGCGGGATCACAGACACAAGAACCCCTCATCCCCACGTCATCCAAACCGGCAACGTAAACAACTGAAAAAACCGAAAACAGCCCAAAATAAGGACGGGGCGGCACCTGGAAGCACCTTTCGGGGTCGAGAAAATAAGAAAAACATGTCCGGGAGCCTTCAAAACGAAAAAGCGCAGAAAAATGGCTGCGGCAATTCACTTTGCGGGGGTTGTCCCCGGAGGTCGGGAGAAATAGCCACCCGGGGGCTATGTAAAAACCAACCACCAACATCATCATCACCCTCCACCTCCTCCTCCCCCGCTAGAACAGAGGAGAACATAAGAGACAGTTTCAAGCCCTTCACACGCGTACGCGGATCAATCGCCGCGCAACCCCAGCCATGGTGACTCCTCGGGTCAATCCCCTCGAAGCGCGTGCTCAGGCCATGAAACTGTCTCGTCTGTTCTCCCCTCCTCTAGCAAATCCCTATCCAAGGCAACAGCAAGCGATGGGCCAACCTTGAATCTCCACACGCAAAAGCAAGCCCAACAAGGGCTTGGCGGCACCGGGCGGCAGCCCTTAAATGAGATGTGGGAGCCAAAACTTCATGGGCATATAGGAAATGTGTTTTTTGTGTGTCCCCATGTGTCCGCCTGGTTTTTGTTGCTGAGACTTTGTGAGTCCCACGTCCCAAGCCCCCAAGGGACCAAGGACTGGGTGCTTGGACCGACCTGGGAAAAAGAGGGCATAGATTCAGCCGCACCGCAACATACCGACATGGCTGTGAGCTTCAATGGGACACCGTCAAGAACTGCGGGACACATCATACCCCCTTGACTTCTTGCCTCTTGCCATCGAGGGCTTCCCTCACGGAGAGGCCCAGGCCGTCCTGGCTCTGGGCGCCCGGCCGGCCTGCACCCGGAGGGCCCATGGCGCCAATGAAGATCCTCGGGCCGAGGAAGCCGCGCACTCGAGGCAGTAGGCGGCACGTTTTTCGAGTTTCCATTCCAAGATCTTTCAACAACTCTTTTTCACACTTTTCGACTTTTTCTGGGACTGCCCCTTGCACGGCTTCGTTTCTGGGCACGGACAAGTGGCTCAGGCATGGTCTCCCATCGGTTTCCGAGGGCCGCGCAGGTCCACCAAGTTCCGGAACTCGGCGCTCTTCCGATCCTGGGCGTCAACCACTCGTGTAAATGGAAGCCCCAAGAAAAGGGTGGAAACGAAACGGGTCGGCCAAGTAAGTCGCGGACGTACCAACCACCGGCGTCCTTGGCTCAGATGGTGTCTTCTTGCAACCCGCGTGCTATCCTGAGATTGCAGCCATCCATTGCCGCAGCAGCTCGATGGGAGGCTGCGCGTCGTACTTCTCCTGCAAAAAGCTGCGGTTTAAAAGCGAAGTTGATCAACATGGGGAAATGTCTAATCCTAACTCGGACGTCCTGCGCACCACTACCAACTCAAACCATAATCTTGCGGATTGATTTTGCACCCAAATGTCCTTGGCCGGCATGTTCATGTCGTCGATGAACAGGAGGCACCTAGGTGAAGGCCGCTGAGCCGTGCCGATTTTTTGTCGAGGAGTCAAAACCTTAACCATGGTTGCAAGAGATTATCCTTTGTATGATATGAGAAAACCGACAAAGTTGACAGTTTAAGGGAGACCCCTCAATATCTCAGAAAGTGTCCGTAAACCATTTGTGCACGACAATGACGTCATTTAGCCCCGCACTTCTTTCCAAAGGGTGGGCCATACGTTCCCTTCTTGCGCTTGTCCAGCTTGCCATCGATGATATCCTGCGCACGCGCGCGCCAAGAAACGTCTGCAAGCACGAAAGCAAGCAAGAAAGCGAGAAAGCAAGCAAGCAAGTAAGAAAGAAAGCAAGAAAGCAAGAAAGCAAAAAAGCAAAAGAGCAAGCAAGTAAGAGAGAAAACAAAAAAGCAAGAAAGCAAAAAAGCAAAGGAGCAAGCAAGCAAGCACACAAACAAACAAACAAACACAAGCAAAGACACCTAGCAAAAAGGTATGCAGGGGGGTCCTACCCCTGGCCTCGATTTTGGTGTCAACTTTTCCGCTGTATCTCCGGCAGTCTTTGTGCAATTTGGGGGGTGAAATGGCATGTTGGGTTTAATCAGGCTTTACAAAGAAGGGCGGAGGGCTAGCTTTAACAGGGACATAAGTTAGCATATAAAGAGTAGATTTAACACCACTTCAAACGCATAAATAAATAATTATATAAATATTTATATATATAGAAATGTCAGAAAATGGTGATTCTACAATTAACGATTTAATGAAAAAGGTTATAATTATTAGTAAGAATATTAAAACATTAACTGAACTAATTAAGAATATTGATGAAAAAATAAACCAACCTAAAAGCAATAACGCATTCAAGAACGAAGACGATAAGGAGAAGATGGATAAAATCTTTGAAAAGAAAGGATTAGGGCGTCCCTCGGGCGACCATGAAACTAAAAGACAATCATATTTTGAGATGGTGTCCAAAGGGCGCATTAAGAACCCAAAAGAACAAACATTAGAATACTACAAAATTGTGAAAGATGGTGATGAATATAAACTTATGGATTAATATAATAAATATCTAAATCATTCTAATAAATGAATTTATTAGAGATGTTTAGTGGAACAGGCAGTGTTGGACTTATTGCAAAGTCGCTCGGTTTTAATGTAATATCGTTGGAATTGAAAAATGCTGATATTAATTGTGATATACTTGAATGGGATTATAAACAATTTGACAGAAACCATTTTCATTTTATTTGGGCATCACCACCTTGCACAGAATACAGTATTGCAAAAACAACAGGAATAAGAAACATTGAATATGCTAATAGTATTGTATTAAAAACAATGGAGATTATTGACTATTTCGGTTTTCCGTATTTTGTTATTGAAAATCCACAGACTGGATTATTGAAAAGTCAGTCTTTTATGAATGGGTTAAGGTTTAATGACATTGACTATTGTAAATATGGTTTTAATTATCGGAAAAGAACGAGGTTGTGGAATAACATTGATAAATGGAAACCCAGACCATTATGTAATAAAGATTGTGGTAAAGTGGTTAATAACAAACATATTGAAACTGCACAACGGATGCCATCAAAAACCAAGGCGGAATGGGGTGATAATTATGTAATCCACAAAGAGGAAGATTTATACAAAATCCCGAGTGAATTGATTAGTGAGATACTGGTTAGTTTATATTAAAAAAACTACTTAAAGAAATGACTCCTATATAGTAGAGAACTAATGACTACCTTACTGCAGTTGTAAAATTACAGGAAACAATTTGGATTTTCAAAAAGAAGTTAAAATGATAGAGGATTAATTAAAAAATACATAGAATGAGTTATTACCATAAACATTATATTAATATTTGTGGAGAGTGTGAAAAGAAAGCAAATATATTTAATGATATGGAGAAAAAGAAAATAGACATTGAAAAAGAACAGTTTAAAATGATATGTAAAGAACCCGAAATAGATGAAGGGATGAGTTTTGAAGAAATGGTAGAACAAGGAATTTTACTTCCAGAAGGGATAAGTTAAATCAATACTTCTTAATATTATTCATAAATATTAAGAATTTTTTTATCATTTATCAATAATGAGTAGATTATCAAAAGATGAGGTTTTACATAAGTTGTTTTATGATGTTGAAACCGGGTTCGGTTCAGTAAATGAGTTAAGCAAATAAAGAAGGACTGGGTATAACATTAGATGAAGTTAGGACATTTATGAAAAAGCAACCTATCAAGCAGGAGAAAGGATACAGTAAATACAACAGTTTTTCAGCACCTTTCGCAAGATATGAATATCAGTTAGACATAATGGATATGATTTCACTGATGAAGGCAACGGGCACATCAGATTTAAGCAGTCCAAGATATGGATTAATATGTATAGATATATTCAGTAAGAAACTACACATTGAACCGATGAAGGTTAGAGACGGTGAGACTGTTTATAAAGCAATACTTCAATGCTTCAAAGTATTAGGTCATCCGATGAGTATTTATACAGATGATGACGGGGCATTCGCATATAAGAAATTACAAGAGTATTTAAAAGGTGAAGCAATAAGAAGCATCATAACATTGACACACGCTAATGTTGCTGAACGCTCCATTCGCACAGTTAAAAAGATGTTGGGAGACAGAATAAAAGCGACTGATAGAACTTGGACGAGTGTATTGCCAGCAGTCTTAAACAAGTATAATCAGCAAATGACACACGGGACGACAAAACTTACACCTAATGAAGCACACAAAGACGAAAACGCAGTGGAAGCGAAGGCGAACTCATTAATGAAAGAGAAGTATTTTCGAAAGTATCCTAAATTAAATGTCGGTGATCAAGTCAAAATTTATAACAAAGGAAAAGGTAATTACACATCAAGAAAAGAAACCACAAGCCGGTGGCACAATACTATATACACCACTTCAAATATAGGTCGTGATATGATGCTTAATAAGTATTATGAAATTGAAAGGAATACCAAGAAATATAACAGACACGAATTACTCTTAATAAATGAATAACATTATTTTAAGATAATGTTATCAAGTTGTATTTGTGAAATATTTATAACATACTTTCTCAACAGCATTCTGATATGCTCTTTCTCTATGAATTCTTTTACATTTATCAATCCTTAAATGCTTTGCCATATTAGACTTATTTTTAATCATACAACCGCATCTTTCACATTCTAATGACTTATCATTTTCTATAAAATACTATTTAAAGTATCCTTCTTCTTTATATTTCTTGTTTAATACATCATTATATGTTTTCTTACTTTCCTTTTCCTTTGCCTTCTTAATTTCTTCCTCTGTATCCGTGCTGAAGTCTGAAACTTCACCCTCAATAGAACTCCACAACAAATCAAATTCATCGTGTGTCATAGAATTTTTATTTTTATTGCCATCTACAATAAAGCATGTCATTTTACTTAATATATAATATAATTATTTCTTTAAGTATATTTGTATATTGTTCCTACTGTGCTATACGATAATGTCCATAGGGAAGTGAATTAATACTGTCTATGTAAAAGCGTTTATTCTCATAGGCACTAAGCGATTGTTTTGTTTGTTGGATGCTGTATATTTGATGTGCTTTACTTCTTATGCTGTTGAATGTTATAGTGTCACAACTATTGTTTTTGAGTGTGTCATCATAAGAATTATATGACAGTTCCTTCTTCACTTTATGTTTAACTATTCCCTGGCTCTTTTTCTCTTCTTTTGTCTCATTATGAATTTTAAAACAGTATGATTTCGGTTTCAATGCTATAAGGTTTGTTATAATCTTGCCGTCGGCTTCATCCTTAAAGCAACCAAGTTTCTTCTTGTTTGTTTTATCATAACATTTGTGTTTAGGGTCATAACCACTGAAATCCATATAATCCTTAATGTCATTAAAGTCATCATATACATCTTCGGTTTTAATATGTAATACAAAACTGTCAGTATCAGTATATAACATTCTGATATTATTTTTATGTTTCGGTTTCATAATGTCATAGTAAAATGAATACATATGTTGTTTTGATAAATCTAAAATACTCATTCCCACATATATTGGTTTATTCAATCTAACTACACTTTTTGCTTTTTCAACTCCTATAAGATTTTCATTGATGATATGTCTGTATTTGAAATTTGGATTATTCACACATTTTTGGTAGCGTTCAGGTGTATCAACCAGCTCAAAGTCAATGTGTTCTCTCACATTTTCCATGGTCTTGCCGTATACAGCGTTGTTCATTAATTTGTACATATCTTTTGAAAAATCGCTTGTAGCGCTCTTTCGCTTCTCTGTGTTAAAGTCAATCCACGGTTTCAACCATTGCTTGTGTCTAAATTCTATTACTCTGTTTATTTTCTTGATTTTAAGTCCTTGTTTCAAATAGAATTTTAAAATGTCAATATGTAAAACATAATTTTGTTTATCCATAACATTTAGTATCAACTTGTTTGTTTTCTCATCTTTTGGAGCATTATTAAAATGATATGCTTTGTAGGTTTCTTTCTGATAATCACTAAGCATATCTGCTGATACACTCATAATTTCTGGTGCTAATGGATAATCAGTATGTTTGTCGTGGCATTCTTTCGGATATTCTAAATCAACATCTAAAATATAACCTTTACTACTGTAATCACTATTGTAATATTTAATGTCTTCTTCTGAGCAATATCTTTTACAAATCTTATTTTCTTGTATGGTAGTTTCTTACACATTGCCAGTCCATAAAGATTATTAGCATCTAAATAATTGATATAGGACGTTGGTTTTGTTTCATCATAAGTATCTCCCATATACTTATTATTAGCAGTTGCTTTTCTCATTGAAACCTGACACATACCACCTCTTACTCCTTGCTCTATCATTTTATAAACTTCTTCATCGTGTAAAAGTTCAAGTTCAATTCCTGTTTTTAATAGCATCGCGTCCCAGGCAAAGTTAGGCAATGTGTAATAATGAGCTGGGTCTAATTCATAATATGTTAGACATTGTTTTCTGAAATTTTCATACAAATCGGTTAATAATAATACATCGGTTTCTAAATATAAATCGTGATATTCACCAAGGTTTTTAATGTTAAAGTGAATCCATATTAGTTTTGCTCTTTCATAGTCAGCATCGCTTATATCTTCTTCACTTAATCTACTGTAAAAATGGTTCTTTTCTGGAAGCTCAGTGTCATTAAATTTATTGAAGTCATTACAATAATCATAAGGATAAACTCCCTTTTCTGTCAGTAAAAATAAATCTTTTTCATGTTTAATGTCTTTGCCTGTGAAACTATATTTAAAATGTTCCTGCCAGTTGTCCCTTAATTTATTATCTTCATATTTTGTCAATTTAACCAGTTTGTCTAATGATGATGACAAGAAACTGAAACTATCCTTAAATTCAAGTCTGTTTATTGAAAATGTAATAAACTTCTCACTGTTCTGTGCTATTACTGATACGCTTTCTTTCTTTGTGTTTAGCTTTTCAAGGTTAGAAATTACTAGGTGAGCATCATAGTTTTTAATATTGTGAAAGAATACTGGTATATGAGATTTTTTAAAACAATAGTCTATATTGCATTTCATACGTGCCGCTCCTCTGTATAATCCAGTAAAGTGGCAATGGTCAGCAACTTTCTTCTTCGCTTCTACTCTATTGTCAAAAGCGCGATTACATAAGAAACACTTTTTAGCTTCTAAATATTTAATTTCATCTAAATCTGTCATATCAATATCTTTTGATTCTTTCATTTGTTCCATAACGTCATCTCTAATATTGCTTAATGTTTCACAAAATTTAACAATACAATCTTCACCTCTATATAAAATCGTTTCATTTCTCCACTATAAGCATTAACAAGGTTAAGCATATAACCGCTGGGTTTATGGTTCTGATAAGTCCCTTTGATACCTTCTGATGTTTCTTTTGTTAAACATTCAAAATCGCCGTAAATAACACATGGTGCTTTCAGTTTCTTAAAATGCTTTTCAAACTTCATTGATGTTCCTTCTTCTGGCATTTTTGTTTGTTGAATTTCATTTGCCATGCAACCTTTTATTAAGTGAGAATTTAAAAGTTTTCTGATTGAAAACCGTGCTGGCAGTAAATACAATGAAATATCTTTGTTTTGTGATTGTTGGATTGACTACCCATTAATCTATTATAATCTTTTACTAAAACATAATGTTCATTATCATTTTTTCAATTCGTAATAAGTTAATATGACAAGATGGTCTTTCATTTTTTGTTATTCTGTCTGCTCTGCTGGTTTGGTTCTCATCTTCAACATAAACATTAACTGATATAGATTTGTTATTGATTTCTTCAAAATGAAAATTTACACCATCCCATTTAATTAGACTTTCAGCAGTTATTAATTTCTTGTAGTGTCTCATATGTTGTGGATGGTCTTTCTTGGAGACTTCATAAAATTTGCATAAAACACAGTATTTGAAACATAACTCATCTTCATTCTGTATGTTGAATGGTATGTTGGATATTGAATATGCGTTGGCATATCCTTTCAATGCCGAAAGTGTCTCTGATGATTTTGCTCCTATTTTTAATCTATTTCTGGATTGTTTTAATGCCTCTCATTGTGTTTGATGCTTTTTTTAGAAGATGAAATCGTTTGAAACCTTGTGTGTTGCTGACTTGATTGAGTTTGTTTTGAAGTGATGTGGATAATGGTGTGTCTTTGTTGTAATAGTCTTCTTTGTTGTTGATGATTAGTTTTTTCAATGGTTTGTTATTCTTCCCTGTTTTTATTTGACCTTCATTATTGGATATTAAATATTCAATTACTGAGCCCGTGCTGTATTCCCCTGCCATTTCTCTATACTATATAAGGTATTTTCTCTTTAAGTATATTTGGGTGGGGGTTTGTGTTGTTGGTTTGGATTTTGTGGGTTTGGGTTCAACGTTGAAACTGTCGTTTCTTTGAAAAATGTCTCATCCCCGAAATTTGGGCGTGGCATCCCCGAAATTTGGGCGTGTCATCCCCGGAATTTGGGCGTGGCATCCCCGAAATTTGGGCGTGTCATCCCCGAAATTTGGGCGTGTCATCCCCGGAATTTGGGCGTGGCATCCCCGGAATTTGGGCGTGTCATTCCCCAGAAAGCCATAAAATTGTCTGAAACCCGAACCTTGAAAATGTCAATATCTTAGACTGTTATTAAATGAAAAAATTGTAAAAAATGTTTAGAAAAATAGTTAAAAGAGTATGGAGTATAGAGTATATGGAGGAACATAATACGACAAATGAAAAGGAAGCTAAACATAAGCAATATGAATGTCCTTGCTGTAAAATAATGATAGGACTTCATAATAAAGCGAGGCACGAAAGAACAAAACGACACAAGGACAATTTAATAACTGTTAAGGAAGAAACACAGACAGAAGAACCAAAGACAGAAACAGAGACAGAAGAACAATAAAATGTTGATGAAGAAAGTGAAATTTATAAACGAATAGACTATATGACAATGATTAGTGGCGATTGTTTTTAATCATATTTTTCAATATAATGTGATTAAAACTAATTTTTATAGAGTTAGTCATCAGTTATAATACTGTTTTTTAATGGTGAAAATTGATGAATGAATAAGGTTATGAATTACCCTTTTACTCTGTATACTCCCAAATTCTGGGTTTAAAAAAACGAATAAGGTAAAATTAATTACCTCATTGAAAAACTGTAAATAATGAATAAGGTTGCCATTGCTTGACCTATTGAAAATGTAAAAAATGTAAAAAAAAAAAGACGAGCAAATACTGAACAAATGATAAAACAAATAAGTCTAACAACTCCCTAGAAATGTTAGGAGAAAATATTGAAAAATGTGAAAAAACAAAGCAACCTGCCACCCCCAGACGCCCCCTATTAACTATTTCCCCCCCCCCCCACCCGTACATTTTCCAAAATTCTCACAAAAAGCACCGCCACCCCCCTACCCCCTCCCCGCGTTCCGGATTGCGTACCCCGTTCCGGATCGCCCCCCCCCTTGCATTTTAAAGATTTCTCAAAAAACACACCGCCACTCGACCCTGCTAAGAGAGATTGTAACCCAACATCTGATCGCTGTTGGGAACAAACAAACAAATACACAAACAAACAAACAAACAAATAAACAAACAAGCAAGCAAACACGCAAACAAACAAACAAACAAACAAACAAACAAACAAACAAACAAGCAAGCAAGCAAGCAAGCAAGCAAGCAAGCAAGCAAGCAAGCAAGCAAGCAAGCAAACACACCAACAAACAAACAAACAAACAAACAAACAAACAAACAAACAAGAAAACAAAAAAACAAACAAACAAGCAAGCAATCAAGCAAGCAAACAAACAAACAAACAAACAAGCAAGCCAAACACGCAAACAAACAAACAAACAAACAAACAAGCAATCAAGCAAGCAAACAAACAAACCAACAAACAAACAAGCAAGCAAGCAAGCAAACACGCAAACAAACAAACAAACAAACAAACAAACAAACAAACAAGCAAGCAAGCAAGCAAGCAAGCAAGCAAACACACAAACAAACAAACAAACAAACAAACAAACAAACAAACAAACAAGAAAACAAAAAAACAAACAAACAAGCAAGCAATCAAGCAAGCAAACAAACAAACAAACAAGCAAGCAAGCAATCAAGCAAGCAAACAAACAAACAAGCAAGCAAGCACGCAAACAAACAAACAAACAAACAAACAAACAAGCAAGCGAGCAAGCAAGCAAGCAATCAAGCAAGCAAACAAACAAACAAACAAGCAAACAAACAAACAAACAAACAAACAAGCAAGCAAGCAAGCAAGCAAACAAACAAGCAAGCAAGCAAGCAAACAAAGAAACAATCCAACAAACAAGCAAGCAAGCAAACAAACAAACAAACAAGCAAGCAAGCAAGCAAGCAGACAAACAAACAGCGAAGACATTGCCACAAACACCCCAAGAACGCGAACCGCCCAAAAACATCACCTTATGTACGAGCGCATGCTGTGCACCTCAGTGGCGTGAAGGAAAGCGCCACTTCATAGAACATCCCTTGACATGTGGAAAATTTTTCAGAGTCAGCCACACGAGCTCCCGTTCAAAGTCACGAGGTCAAATGATTCAAATATTGAGTCCTCTGGAAGGAGCTGAAAGCTGCAACTACTTGAGCTGTCCGTGCAGAAGTCATGAGTGAAGTGTTAGGAGGAGCGCAGCGCGGAAAAGTAAAGGTTAAACTCCTTTGACCTCCGGTACCATCGATCTGGCGGCATCGAGAATGGGTTTGCATGCTGAGCATCTCTACAAAGCTGGCTTGACTTCTTGGTGTCTCTCCTGATTTATGTGATCAATGATAGTGATGTTAAATTCCTTACTCTGAAATTGGCGAACTCGGGTTTTGGGCTTGGGAAGAAGCGGCAAGGGGGCCCCGGTGTTTGTACATGTTGCACATTGTGAAAAGCATCCTGCGTCTGGTTTGCCGTCGTCTGCGCGCTGAAGGCGAAAGAGATGACCTCACTGGAGCCCGCACAAAACAAATCGACATGAGCAACTTGGTTGGGTCCAATTGCTGTTGTGGGACATTTGGGCGTGCGCCCCGCGAGCCCCCCCAAACAAACCACGCAACCGATAGTTCTGTCGAATGCTCACTTGATGAAACGTGAGTGTCAAGACACTGCGTGCTGAACTTTCTGAGCTCGCCGCTGTATACCTCTCTTTGTCGAAGCCTGAGTCAATGTTCAAAGTTGGCCCTTGTCTAAGCGCTCAGAAAGGTGAGGCCCAGCATCGAGCTTTTAGGTGCCCTCTTGGAAAAATAGATGGCACTCTCAAATGATCGGAACCCAACTGCAAGCAGTGACATCTATTTCAATCAAACTCACGACGAAGAAGGGACACCCATGATTGAGCTCGTTGTGTTCTCGGTTCTGCCAAATTTCGGCCAAGACTTTCAGCCAAGACACGCTTCAACAGTTCCTGCTGAATGACCACCTGACGTCCGTGGGTTTTCTTTCGGTGCCTTTTCTGGGTTGTTCCGAACATGGGATGCTGGGACCATCTGGCATAAGGCTCGGGTGCGTTGATTTTGAGCCTCGTTCGGCACAAACGCGGCAGGAGCGCCGTCTTGCCAGTGCCCGTCAGGCCGGAGAACAAGACGTGGTGTTCGCTGGCCACCTACGAGAACTCATCCAACTGGGAACCTATGGCCTATGGAAACCTCCTGCCTGGCACTTCGAAGACGATTGTCATCTTTTCTCTCGATGCCAGCTGTCTGTTGTGGATTCCACAACATTCGTCTAACAACTGAAAGTTTTGCGAAGCCCTGCACTCCATACGAGGGCCTTTGAACAACTGAGGACTCATGTCCTTTGCCTCTATTGATGTGCGACGTCCTTCGAAACAAAGCACCACGTCAGCAGCTGAGATGCCATCGGCAGCCTCAAACTGCTGTCGGAAAAGGTAAAGTAAAGAAGCAGGGCATGGAGGAAACCCATGCCATCCTGCCATCCCATGCGCGCTCACAGTGTTTACACAGCAGTCTCTGTTTCCACCTTTGACTCAGCTTCCACCTTTGGCGCAGGTGTCTCCACGGCTGGTCCGCTGAACATGCCACCGTGCTCCCTCCAGTAGTAGCAAGGAGACAACAAGGCCCAGAACATGACGTAGCCGGCATGGACCTGGAATGGAAGCAGTGGATCATCAATGGGTCGGTAGAAGCAGAAGCCGGCAATGACAGCTCCCAAGTTTCCGCCTGCCCCCACCAAAGCGGACACAATCGCCAGTTGTTGCTTGTTCATGAAGGGCACAATCCCATAGCTGGTCCCTTCCGCCATCTGGACAAAAAGGGAAAAGAAGATCAGCACTGCCAAAGCAACGTACCATGGCTGCGTGTTGTCCACCAAGCCGAAGCAGAACAAGAAGATGGCCTCAAAGAAGAGGGACAAGAACTGCGCCCAAATGCGGCCACGGAAGCCAACGTACTTGAACAGGAGGTCACTGATGATTCCTCCCAGGGACCGGGCAAAGAGGTTCATCAAGCCAAATGCCCCCGCCAAGGCCGAAGCATCTGCCGCAGCCATTTGGAAGTAGGTCCTAAAGTGGGTTGCCAACTGATTGTTCATCGCGAGTTCAGTTCCGAAGCATGCCGAGTATTGCATGATCATCACCAGAACTCGGAAATCCTTCAGGACCTCGACGTAGTCCCACAAAGATGGCTTCTTTGTCTTGCCGGTCACTGCCACATCGAAGCGCTTGGCTGTCGGGGTGTCCCAGCACAAGAGCTTCATGGTGACGGCGCAGGTCACAAAGAGGACCGCGGGAACCACCATGGCCACTCGCCAGGCGGTGTCCGGCAGCACGCCGGAGTCCACCATGGGGTTGAAGAGGACCGAAATCATGAAGATTTGGGTCACACCACCACCCAAGTTGCCCCAGCCTGCTGCAGTGGCATTGGCAGTACCAACAACATTGGGCGAGAACATTAGCGAGCACCAGAACTGGTTGGTGACAAATGTGGCACCGGCACACCCAATGAAAAAGCGGATGACGGTGTAGTTCCATGGTTCAGAAATGGCTGCAGCCATTGCAACCCAGAACGCTCCAAAGGTCAGCAGGCCGCTTTGAACGTTCACTGGGCCAAAGCGTTCCAGGAGGGTGCCAAGGGCAATGCGAACAAAGATTGTTGAGGCCACAGCTGCCACTCCGGCGTTGGCAATCATGGCATTGCATGAGGTCCCTGTGGTGCAAACGCACTTGGCCAGCACCGAAGGTCGGTACTGAAGTTTCTCCTCATCAGTTCCAGTCGACAGCTTGTCAGCAGGCACGGGCTGGCAGTCGGTGGGCACATCATTGGAGTCCAAAACCTTGCCGTATTGGCAGTACTCAAGGCCGCTCTTGAGGTTCTTGTACTTCAAATAGGCCACCCGCTTGGGGTACTCCGCAGTTGGGTACAGTTGATTCTCACATTGGCCCATGCTGCTCGCTACCTCCAGCCCCAAAGGTGCCAAGGCAAACCAGCCCAGGAACGCCAGGAAGAAAGAAAAGGTCGAGGCCCAGAATGCTCGCATATGTGGATTCTGCTGAACAGTCCCACACACCCGAAGCAGTGGCAACTCTGTGGCCTTATTGTTCTCATCCACCGCCAACTTAAAGTTCGACATGTCTGGAATCTGTACACTTCCGGCCTACTACTAATGTGCGAAATGGTTCGAGCAAAATTCCTCTGCAAGGGCCTTCTGTGTGAGCGTGCTCTGAAATGAACATTTCTACAGTTCTCAGTGAGAGCATCCACGCTTGAGGCACGTGCCAGGGTCTGCAGCAAGAAAGCGCTGCGCACGGTATCAGTCGTGGGGACCATGATCTGATGAGCCTCATTGCGCTCATTGTCAGATCAGGAACCGCGATGCGCAGGACTCGTGGGCCCCTGGCCAAAGCTTCCTTGGGGATGTCGAAGCCCATGATCCTCGGCCGGGAAAATCCGACAAAGCCGACTACGCCCAACCGCCTTGCCCAACTGGACAGGCTTGAAACACGTCGGTTAGCCAGGCGGCTTCTTCGTCCAGGACTCCCATTTGTTGGACCTAGGGCTTCAAGGCTTTGAGGCTAGGGCTCTTCTTGCACGAGGCGGTTGCTGCGCAAAGGCAAAGTACTCGAAGACGCTGTCCTTCTCTGGGAAGGGAGTCTTGGACACCGGCCTCCCAAATGGACACAGCGGGCAGCGGGCACCGAAAGCGAAGGGCGGAGGAGCGGCTTGCCTGAAGGTCGGGTCATCCGCAATGAGATCGAACTCATCCTGCATCGATCGGATTGAGATCGCTCGGATTGCCATCGGCCTGCCTTCACAGGCATGCCTGCCTGGATGGACCGAATGAACCTGAGATGAACACGGAAGGAACTCCCATTCGGCCCGATCGCAAACAAGCGTGAAACCATGACAATGTCCTCCCCCGGTTTGTTTGACAGTTTGGAGCACCCCTGATCCAGAACCCGACCCCATCAGACCCATTCGACCCCTGCTCCGGCGCACCGGTCCATTTGCTTGCGCCCCGCCGAGTCGGTGGTGGCGCCAAAGCTCCAGACCAAAGCAAGCCAAAACCTGGCGGCGAGATGAGCAACATGTTGTAAGATGAGCCGCTTCCCCCTCCAAACCAAAAACTACTTCCTGCCCCTGGTACATTTAAGCTTGTTAGCAGAAATAACTTGTCGAAAGGGTCAAAAGAAGTACGAAGCTGCAAAAGGAGCACGAAAAGGGAATACTCTCAGCCCTTAGTCCCGGGCATGTTCTCCACCTTGACCTCCTTCTCCTTTGCCGGGATGTCCTGTGGCTCGTGCCCAGGTGAAGACATGTTCCAGTATCTGTGTGCCCCCTATCCCCCGCTCCTATGGTCCTGGTACCTGCGTTCCCCCTGTGGATTGGTCGGGGTTGGGGTTGGTTCGGGTTGGTTCAATGGGCAGTCCTTGGCATCCTTCTCAGGGTCCAGTGGCAGCTCAATGCGCAACAGCGCCTCTGCAAGTCAGGTGGTACCACTCTTGTTCCTTTGGGTCTGTGACGTCATGCAGACGCCCCAGTGTTGATCCTTGTCTCCTGCGAGAATTATTTGGTGACACCCCTCCAAACATTGATCAAGCAGGGGTTGGTTCATCCAGGGGTCAACCTTTTCTACTTAAGGTCAGCGCCAGCAGGAGCTTCAGCAAGCTCTTGACCAGCCAATTTTGCGTCACGGGCACGGGCGTCTTGATCTGCAAAAGGACATTCATAACGCCACACGACAGCACACGACACGACTGATCGCCTTCCGTTGGCACATCTCCCAGCACTGATCCACATTGGTTTCCAGGAGTGTCTTCAATTGGTCCGTGCATTCCTCGCAAAGCCGAGCTTAAAGCTCACTGGACAAGGCCAATTGCACCAATCCAAAAATGAACATACCTGCGCGTGTCCTGCAGCCGCTCTGGAGCAGTCTCCAGCCTAAGGGCCGAAGCGTCAAAGCGCCAAGCACAATTTTCTTCATGCCACGGACTATCAAACCCGAGGCGTCAGCCAGGACTGCATCAGCACACGCCAGCCAATATCCACCTGCACGTGCGAGGAAGCCAACAACAAACGCGTGAGCTCACATAAAAGAAACGACATAGCACGGGCGGCATCCTCGCGCAAAGCGCATCTGATTTTTGCGGGTGCGTCCCGAAGTCTGCCGGCAACATGTACAGCACGATGCCCCGGGAGTAGCCTCCCTCTGGCTCAAAGCACAAGTCCACCCGCCGCATCGCAGGATGCTTCTGCTGCAAGTACTCGATGAAGTCCTTACCGTCCGCAAAACTACATTCAACCTGATGCATCAAGTGATGGGAAGAAGACTTGAGAACTCCATTGTGTCTTCTTTTGTATTTGACTGGGGTGCTGGGATGGAGAACGTTGTGACCTGCCAAGTTTCCGGATAGGTCTTCACCTTTTGCCCGTGCAGCTCTCGCTGCGGGAACTCTTTCCTGGGCACAAAGAGAGTGTGAAAGGACCTGTTAAACAGGCTTGCCAGAAATTGGGGAGCCTGTTTTCCTTTTGCTTTTCCCTGCTTTCACAGCCAGAAAAGGCACCAACTCCCGACCGAAAGCACATGCACGAAACTCGCAGGAGATCCAAGGAGTTGAACTCCAACTCGGCGCCGGGCGGGAAGACGCAGCAGGGGCACACCGCAAAGGGCCGCTGAAGTGTAAGCGCCAGGTCGATGCACGCCTCTGTGGCCTGGGAAAAACAATTGGGTGCCGTGACGGCGTCACGCATTGACAAATCGTAAGGCATGATGACGACACAAAATATGGGGGATAATAAACCAGTACTGTGGGCTGTCCCAAGAAGCGGGTTTCCATGAAGACCTTTGAACACCTTCGGCACATTGGAATGCAGAGCGAGGTCTGGTGGCTTGTGTAAGAGCTCCCTGCTTGGATTTCACAAGACAAAAAGGGAACCGCAACGCATCCACCCGTTCTTCCGATGATAACTGATTCGCAGTAGACGAGTCCAAGATGAACAGGAATGCCAAAGCCTTGACAGAAACAGTGTATTTGGGCAGTCATTCCCTAGAGTAACATTGTTGTGAGCTAATCGCCCTCGTATGCACGTCAAATCATAAAGCAACCCTGCTCGCTTCATTAATAACACCCATCACTATTATTGGCAATCATTATCATTGCATGAGTTGCACATGGTTCTGAGGCAAGTTGGGTATCATCTTTCCTTGGACTCTGTGGGCATCAAATGAATTGTTGCGTCTTGATCGTTGATTCGCGAGCCCCATAGCGACATCGGGCTGCATGTCAGGCCTGGTCCGGGTGGAAGCCAAGGATCAGGCCGCAGGATCGGATCACCTCCCATGGAAGAGGTGGAAGGCTTTACCAGGAACTTTACCACAGATTTTTCATTTTTTTGGCACATCCCGAATCCCGCTTGTGATCTTGACCTGGCTCCCCGTCCTCCAGCGCCTCCGCCGCGTCGGCAATGTGCGCTTCCGCCGTGCCCGCGTCGGGCGGCTGGTGGTGCCCACAGGGCTCGACGCGCTCGGCCCGCAGGCGGGCCTCCCCGGGTTTCGCCTTCGAAAGTCTTCGAAAAAAACCGCATCCTCTTTGGTCGGGGAGGTCGAACCATATTTGAGCAGGGGGCCTTCCACACCGCAGCATTAACTATCACACTCGAGCTGAACGGTGGCGTTTGCAGGAGGAACACACCACCCACCCAAAATCAAAACGTACTTTCGAGAGGAACCCATCAACGAGGTCACTTGAATGGACAGCCCCTACTCAAGAAAAATGCACTCCTCAAAATGAATCTCCGAAGCCAACTAGCCTGGGAAAAAGGGTATCCGTTGTGCCACTGAGCAGCTGGGAAATGCGTTACCCAGTCACTGCCTCAGCCCAGAAGGCGGCCCAATCACCTTCTGGCTGCATGCAGTTCTCGAGAAGCTCTGCGTCCTGTGCAACCATTCTGGGAGGCCCATACTCCATAGACAAATTGTCCGGACTCCTCAGAATCATGGTAAGTTCTCCTTTAGGCGAAGCCACATTTGTCTTTGCTTTTCCTGTCAAACCACCCGGACCACTAGATGGAGAAAAGGCCAGCCATACATGCCAAGGCATACATACAGTGCGCACGTGTCCTTGCAGTCATGTTCCTCAACTTGTTCCTCTTGCTGCTTCTGGCTGGTTTTCCTCTTTCGATCCGCACGCCCAGCAGGAAAAGAGTTGTATGCAAGGGCCCCGTCAATGGATGCGATGCGGACCAGGAACTAAAGACTTCAGCGGCTCGCACTCGGTAACAACTCACATGTTTTTGACAATTCCCTGGGCGCCCCGTCCATGAAGACGCGCAAATGTCTGGGGCTTCTGAAGGGCGGCTGCAGGCCCAGCGCGCGCATAGGGCCTTGCGGGCCCCGCGCCACGGTCAAGGACTGCACGTCCTCGTCTCGCGTCCTCGGGACGTCAACCGACTCTGGGCCGAGAGTTTGCCTTTGAAACAGCCCTGGAAGAAATGCATGTCTTTCACTTGGTCTCCTTTTGGGCATAAAGTTGGGTCCCACATGGTCCCACTAACTTACTTGTTCAAATGGGGGATGCCTAATCCTGATCAGGAACCCAGTTGAACCCAGCTGGATTCTTGCAAGGCGTCTCGTGGTGCCACAGCGCCGTGCGGGCAATCTTGCTGTGGTCCGTCTTTCGCGGATCCACCACCACAGCGTCCACATGATCGGCGTTCACAAGCAGCCACGACAGGTCCCCCTTGCAAGGGTTTCCGATTCAACCCCGGGCTGAAACAGTTTAAACATCATATTCCTTAGGCATCCTTCTTCCTTCCCCTTTAAGTGGCCAGGGTCTATCATTCAGCCCGTGCAATCCGAGGCCTTGCCCCCGGCCACGTCCAGCACCGTGAGAGGCGCATCCGCATCCGCGAAGTGCCGCAAGACGAAGTCGCGGAAGGCAAAGACCCGCTCACGCTGTGGGATGCCCGGCATCCGGCGCTAGAAAGGCTCGGCTGTGTGGGGTCCAATGCAAAGGTCGTGTGGGCAAAACTACGAAGAAGGACATTGGAAACTTGGGTAGGCTTCGCCGGCTTTTGTGCGGAATTTGGGTTGCCCCATAAGTCCTCCCAAAAACCAATAGTTGCTCATTAGCATGTTTGTTTGCATCGGCGCAAAGCTTCATGTCGAACGGGGAAAATGGCTTGGAAGGGTCATGTTGTGCTTGGCGAAGATCCTCTGGATGTTTCTTGGAGGTTCTCTTGAAACTGCTCCAAGACCGGCATCTTTCCATGAGACCCCATGGCTCAGGAAAGGTTTGGGTGGGCAAGCTAAAGGATGACGGCTGCGCTGGGCCAAGCTCGCGCCTGCTCCATGAAGACCATGCCGCAGCGAGACACGGTGGCCGGCGACGCAAAGGTCAGGTCCTGCGCCGGATGCACCCAGCTTCGCACGGCACGCTGCAACAATGCGGACGCAGATCTCCTCCACCTCAAACATCATGGTCGTCACCTGACGCGTATGACGGTGCACCGATCACAAGGAAGACAAATCTGGCATCTGCGACAACGAGGACAACTCATAAGCTGCTGACACCGCTCAGCTTGATGATCTCGCCACTGTTGAGGCAAAGTTTTTTGTTGTCCTCAGAGCAGATTTCCCATGTATTGCCCCCCAAGGTTGGACGCTTGCCATTTACTGCTTCCACGCTTGCCAAGTTGGGGCAGCCGACGTCAAGGACCGTGTTCATGTTCTCGATCCAGACCGCGTCCACAGGTCCGTCCTAGGCGCGCATGCCAACAGCTGGCCTCAAACAGAAGCAGAACACGCGACTTTGATCAAAGGTGTGCGCTCCGAGCGGGCTGGAAACCGGGGACCCGGCCAGCATGATCCACTGCCGATAGGCGGGATCAGCATTGGCCGTGTAGCGAACCTTCGTCCATACCCGGCTCAAATCGCGATGTGCAGCTTGCACATGCACAGGGGTTGGGGCCAAATGGGGTTGCCCTGGCCACCTTTGGAGAACCAAAAGGAGCATGGAACGATTGGTGGCTTAAACGGGCTTGATCCAACGTGAAATGGCCCGATCAAGTTCCCGGCAGTCAAGGCCAGTATGCCATCGGTCCACTCGTGCGTGTTCTCGTCAAAGTCTCCGTAGAGTTGGCCCTGTTTGATTGACCTGACGGGCCCACCGGATCCACCCACTCCTCATCCGACCCCCTCCTTGCCACACGACAAGATGCAATCCGGGGCCCGGCTTTGGATTGATCTTGTGCATCTGAACTGGCAAGTAGAGGTCACCTCGAAAAAGCTTGACATCAAGCCGCCACTCAGGCTCCCACGACAAAAGCCAGAATGCAATTGTCTATTTTTGGGAGGGTCTCTCACTCAGGTGGCAATCAGCTAACCGAGCTGCCATCTGCGACGGCAGCCAAGGCATCAGAAAGCACGTGCTCCACCTGGCCAACAAGAATTATCTTGCTCTGTATCCTACATGGCTTAGGCGGGGGGTTATGTCCGTTTACGGACCGGGTATGTAAAGTTGGACCTTAGATGCAAGCACCAGAACATTGAAGGCGATATCGCCCGCACGGCTGCCAAAGAACTTCTTCTGAGCTGCGCACGGCGGGCCAATTTGATTTTCTTTGGGCAGGCTTGCAGTATGGTCACATAATCTTGTGCCATACTGGTGGCATACTGTGCATGCGCTGGAGGGGGTGTCCCTTGTTATGCTGATCTACGTCAACGCATCTGCATGGAATTGTGACAGGTTGGAGTCTCATGTTTAAATGCTGCAGAATCGGAAGCAGCACCAGGGCCAAAATGTCATGCAAGGCCCTCTGCCTGGGAACTGACAAAGATGTTCACCCAAATCTCATTGAGGCCTTACTAAGGCCTCACCCAGAGAACACTTGAGGGGGTGTCTTTGAGGGGCTTGGCCTTCTGTCCGACTACGCAGGCCTCTGTCTTGCCGGAGACGTTCATGCCTCGGGCAGTAGCCATGCGGTCAGTTTTCAGGATCTGAGGCGCGGGCCAACCACCATGAGGCCATGCCGCACCATGATCGTCTCCCACAGCTGTGTGCACTTGTGGATGAAGGAGCCCTCACGGAACGAGACACAAGGTTGCTCAACATAGGGCCCTCGAGCTCGCCTGCCTTCGGCTGCAGGTGACGGGCTTTCGCGGCGCCCTCCAGCTCGTTGATCAGCTTGCCGTAGTCAGAGGCCGGCAGCCTGGAACATCTCCAATGGAATTCAGACATTCGGATTGATTTGCAACCCGGCAAGAGTCACAAAGCACAAGGAACTAAGCTGCGCTCTTGACCCCTGGGAAAAGGTCGCCAGTAATGCCCAGGAAAAGGGGAATGTCCTCAGCATGCCGAAATCGATCGGAGAATGTGCATTTCTCCAATTTGCCTTTGCCAAATTGCAACCAAGCCGCGTTGGACGTGAATTTGGGCAGGTTCACATCCTGTCAAGTCGACGCCCGGTGCATAAAACCCTTTTTTCCCCCGGCGCAAATCGTGTGCTAAGGATGACCAATGTATCACGACAGGGCCCCCGCGTTCAGCGCTGAGAGCATCAAAATATCTTCCGCTCGGGTGTTTCCAAACCTGGGAGGGCGCCATCGGAGAGACTGCACGATAGCATGACCCCCTTGTTGGCCAAAACAACACAAAGAAAGTGAACATGTTGATGGCTAAAATCGGTGCAGAGTAAGAATGCTAGAAACCAAAAGAGAAATGGCGACTTCAGCTGACAATGGCTACACGTCATATCCGTGTGGATCGAGCTGGTCATACGGACAGGGACCCCAGCTTCTTCCTCAGCTGGCCAGCCGCCACAAGGATGGACCTCGCACATGAGAAAGATAACCAGTCTGGGCCGTACTCTTGCAGCGCCCCACTTCAGCGCTCGCATGCCAAAGTCATAGTGGTCCTGCAACGCACGGCATACAGTTCGAATCTGGGCCCAAAGTCAACCAACCAGCAAGGGGCTTCCACGTAGCATGCTCAAATGTTATCTGGAGCCGTCAAAAGCCGTCAATAGTTGGCAATGCCAAATTAAACCAAAGACTTGCAACAAAAAGCATCAGCGAGATCTTTTTCTAGCCATCGCCTGGCCTAAAATCCTTATCAAAACCGACACAACAAGTAACGAAAACCTTGCCCTTACTGGAGCTGGTCTAAATCTGTGCTTTTGATTTCCCTGTCGTTCCCCGCCCTTTTCAAATCCGGAAAAAGAAATCAACTCCAGAAAGCAACCAACCCAGCCAGCCACCCACCCAAAGACAGACCCCTGAGTCTCAGGAATGACCTGTGCCCTTCGGCACTCATCATGCCGAGGCTGTCAAATGTCACAGCTCATACCCGTAGAAGCTTAAAACTGACAAGGCACCAAGAACGGTACCAACCGACCAAAACAAGAGTGGCTTCCCAAACTGCCAGTTGCCAACCAACCGGCAAAAGAAATCTTGGAACCACACAGCAACGAACAAAGCCCACAAAGAAGACAACCACCCACCTGGAAATTCCTAAAACCCCCTGAAAGTAACACCATGTCCCGTTGCTGTCCGTCCCGTGCGCCGGTTTCCTGGGAGGAGAGCTGCTCGGAGCCCAGGCGAAGACTGGCCACTGCCTTCGCCGCCAGAGGCTTGGCGTTGCCGAAGCCCACCTCGGAAGCCGCGGGCGGTGCGGAGACGGGACAGAGAAAGAACCCGAAAACAGAGAAACCCCGGGAAAGAGCGGGGAAAACGACGAGACATGCAGAAAAGCTCGACCTAACAACCGAGAAAACGGAAACAGAGACTGGAATCAAGTGGGAAGGCATTGAGAAACAAATGCATACGTTGGAAAGTGGAATCAGCTAGAGCCCGGTGTGACAATCCCATTCTGAGGAAGCCGCTGAATAGAGCACGATCTCGCCGATCAGGGCATAGTCTGGCACCATCATCGCCTGAGGTTTAAATCTGGCGCTGGGCTCAACACAGCGTGAGCGTGACTGCGAGGCTGCGAGGCTCGTGCGCAGGGTCGGAACAAAGCCTAGGCCGGAGATGGAAATGCGAAAGCAGCAATGGGCACGCAAAGCCCTCGCCTTCAAGTTGTCAGGCAGCTCTGACCGGCCAGCATAGCCCGGATTCCTTGGTGGCGTACCCCGGACACACAAAACTTGTCATTCTATACAGGCCAAACATGTAGATGGGTCACAACACCTGAGCACCTGATCTTGCAACGAACAGGTTGCCCTGAAGACTTCAGCAGACGTAGCCCATGCACGTGACTCGGGGCTGGGCATCGTGATGTTCACCGCACAGGTCGGGATCAGCTCCAGCTCCGTGTCTTCGAAGATGAAGCGGCGCTGGCGAGGCGCGGTTTGAATGGAACGGAACCGAAGAAACAAGGTCCCAGGTTGCAAACAAAAGTGAAACTCCCAGGTCCAAGGTTTGCAGTTCGCACCTTCTTCATGCGGATGGCCTCCTGGATGCAGGCAACCTGGCGGAAGGCCAACTGGAACTCTGGAACTCCCCCCCTGTGCCACCGATGGCCTGCTGCGCAATCACTGACAGCACTTCCAGGTCAATCCGGTTGAACCTATGTGCGAGACTCGGTGTCCACCCCCAAACCGGGACCCGTTGGAAAACGGGGTACACCATGCATAGTGCGGGTATGCAGTTGCTGCTCGTCTCATGACACAAAGGGGGAGAAGAAAAGGGAAAGTAATTGCAGACATGTGCAGACCTCTGTGCGTGCTGCCAAACAGTGTAGTGGTCCAATCGGGCTTGCTTCTCATGTCCCAGTCCCAGCTCTTGCCAGTGTCCAAGGCCGGCACTCGTCGAAGCAGCACCAAGCACCGGATGAAGCCAAGCCTTCATTCGTCTTCATTCAAACTCAGCCCCCAGATTCCACGGCTCAAATTTGGCCAAATGCCACGCCTTTGAAGAACTTGCCCATTGCCAAATAGTCAAGGCCGTCCGAGCAGTTGAAGACCACCTTATGCACATCGCAAGCAACTACGTCGACCCTCAAACTTGAAAAACGGACTGCACCGAGATTATGGAGTGACTCTGCGTTCAGGGTAGCCAGGCCAGGGTAGTCTGAGGGTCCCAGTAGCCATCCCCTCCATGCGGCAGAGCCACACACTGAACCGACATCGCCTTGGCCAAGTCCTTTGTGGATTCCGTCTTGCCAGTTCCTGCACCCGAGGCGGGCGCGGAACGCACACTGAGTTGGACCTAGGACTAGGAACCAGTGGCTTGACGCAGTGTCACTTCAAGGTGGAATGCGCCCCGATCAAAACCGCCAAATGTTTCATTGGGTTCCCCTTTAGTCTCTGCCAGCCCGTGCCTGCGGGCCCTTCTGGCGCCCCGCCGTAGAAGAGATGGAACGCGCCCATGAGAGTTCGGTAGCACCTCCACCGTGCCAGAAGCACGCAGCTGACCTACCCTAAATCGATGCCCTGGCCTATTGCTCAAACCCAAGCAGGCCAAGCAACTGTTGCCCGCCTGTCTGTCAAAGGAGTGACCACCAGGCGGTCGCTGTTGCCAAGGTACTCGAAGCCGTAGAGAAGGGTGGCCTGTGCACCAGTGCGCAGCTTCCATAAGACCGAGGTTCGGTGGATTCTCCCATGGCTGTGCCAGTTGCTTTGTTTGATTCAAATCTGCAAGGCGGACATGGGAAAGTTTTGGGAATCCAACTGACAGACACATTTCCCCCATGTCCCACGTCTTGAGGCAGAAACATTGATGATAGAGACCTGGCAGTGGTCCACGACGCTCGGCCTCAGGGCTGCCATGCAAGGTGCCCCTCGCGAATCTCATGTGCGCCATGGTCAAGAGGGATTTACCCATGAACATGAATTACACAGTCTCAGAGTCTCAGAGTCCATTTGTGGTCGTTGAAATGAGGTCAAGGAGACAAGGAAATGTCCAGAATCTCAGAACCGAATGGATTTTGGGTTAAATCCGGGTCCGGGGCTTCTGGGTCTCGTACATGATGATGGACCCAGCCGGGGCCTAGCATGCGACAGCTTAAAATGCCAAAACCGGCGCGAGGCGCACCCAATAGTACCGCAGCTGCGCCATCCAATCGAAGTCCTGCAAAGCAAGCCCGGGGTTCAACTTACAGCCGCAACCTTTAACCTCCAAAGCTGCCTTGAAAAAGTGGATGTCTAAACCACCCTCAAAAAGGATACACATATTTTCCGCTGCCCATCCCCCATCGAAAAAGGGAACATGCCTGCTTTCAGAGGGGGGTGAGGCTGCTGTTTTGTGGCTTGCCGGTGGACGTCCTTGGATGAAGTCACATTGACATCCCGCAAGTTGGCCACCACGTCACGGTTGTGCACGTCGATGGTCACCATCGCCTATCGGTTTCTCCGATCGCAGTCACCTACCTGGACCTACCTCAAACCATGGCTCTCCAGGTTCTGGCACAAAAAATGTTATCGCTTTTGGCGGGCCCTCCCGGTTGTGCATCCTGCATCTTTGCCCTGCTTCATCAAACAAGAGTTCGGAACTTCGCGTTCCAGGCGCGTGCAACAAACAAACGGAACCCCAAAATTTGTGGCTTTGGTTTCCCTGTCAACCAACCCTGAAAGGGTGCCGAACCAGGTGGAAAAAGGGTAAAGTGTTTTGCTTCGTAGGAGACGTCCGAGTGCTCCGACTTCTCCGCATCCGAGGCGCCGTGAGGGTGCGGCGTGCGAGTTTGGACAGCTCCCCGCGCACCAACTCCACCAGCTCCGCCAGCTGCGTGGCACAGACCTGATCTGACCGAGGGAAAGCGGTTTGTGGGCCGACGGGACGGGAGGGGGGGCCTCGCAGGTTTGGGCAGGTTGGATGCTCGTTGAATCAACTTTTGCATCTGGGCGTTAAAGAAGTCGGGGCTCTAGAAATAGTGTTCGACTGTGTCCTTTTCAGCGAGGCGACGCAAAGAAAATACTTTGCGAACAAAGGTGACGGCTAACAAGGCACAACAGCAAATAGAAAACGGAATGTGTATAAGTCTTATTTGGTGACCCTGAGGGGGATTCTAAGAACTATCCACCAGCAACGCGCCTGATAGTAGTCCGCCAGCTTGCCCTTCTCGATGGCCTCTGCCACTTCTCTGGTCCAGTAAATGTTGTCCACCTCAGCGTCCCCTTCCCCCTAAAACGCAAAACGGCCTCGTATTTCGAGCATCCGTAAACCAAGATGGCTTAAGATGTAGCTGAAGTGTTTAGAGGATTCTCCATCCACGAACGGGTCGTAGACTGCTGGATTTACATTCCCGTTCCGCGAGCTCCCGGCCGCGATGGCCACCTGGCCCGGCCACTCCAGCACCTGAGCGCACGACTCGGGAGGCTACAACATGGATATCCCCCACGTTCTCATTGTAATGCAAACTGTTTCCTTCCCACTGCCGTTGGACCCTAAACCTCGCGACTGGAGTTCATCTTGTTGCGAATGTGCTACACGAGTCGCGAATTCAAGGCTGCGGCCCACTGGTCTCTCTTGGTCTCTGCGTAGGCTTTCACGGAGTCGCCCATGATCTGAGGGAGAGGACCCAGTTGCAACTAGTGACTCTGGTAGAGAAGGGTGTCTGAAATTTGGATTTGCGTTGCAGGTCCCAAAGCGTACCAACTCACATGGCCGTGGACTCCCAGTGGGTTGAGTGGATTCCATGTTTGTGGAAAGCCACCAAATAACAAGGACACGGGAAGAAGGCTACCTCTGAGCAGCTGGGAGGGTAAAAAAATGCCAATGCGAACTGCTGTCCGTCTGAACCTTGAGATTTCGACTTCCATGACCACCGTCCTGCTGTCAAAATGAACCAGCACCCTTTGTGGTATCTGATGGGCGTGCAGTTAAGCACCTTAGCCCAACGTTAGGTTCATCCCTCATCGCCAGTTCTGCTTACCCAAAACGGCCCACTTCGAGTTGGCATTTATCCCAGAAGTTCAACGAAGCAACCACTGTGGATCTTGCCCATTTAGAGTTTGAGAGTAGGTTGAAGACAACGCATCCCCGATTCCTCTAATCATTCACTTTACCTGACAAAACTGTTCCGAGTCTTTGGCTTGCAATTGGGTAGCCAAACCTCACACCATAGGGCGTCTGGGTACCTGAAGTCAAGAGGGACTCCCTTCATTCTGTGCCTTGGTCAGGGTGTGGATCATGGACTCCTGCACCTCCAGCAGCCACCTTTCCACGTTGCCCTTCTTGTCGCCCTCGTTCACGTTCACCTCCGGGCGCTGCCTCTAAGAAGCACTCTGCATCGGATGCGGCGTTTGCGGCTTTCCGATACCGGAAGAGTACTGAAAGAGGACGGAAGAACGGGAGAAGCAGTCCATTTTCTAGAGCACGGCTGGTCTTGTTCCGGTGCCTTCTTGATCAGGTCCACCACTTCCCCCTCCACAGAGATCATCGCCTCGATGATCTCATCGTTCGTGTCGAAGCGGACTCTGTTGATTCCTTGCAAAACAAAAGCCAATCAGACCCCCCGTGGCCAAGAAGGCGGCAGACTTGGGGTCTCTTCTTTGAGGGAATCTTTTTGCAAGCCCCTTTAGGCAGATCCGTTTGGTCAACCGCCATAACCGCCGAACTCACACTACAGTGCACGTGACGTGACACGGGAGGCGTGAGTGAAGGCAAGCCTTCGAAGCACTTGCCCATGTGGGGCTGCACTGCCGTCGGATCCTGCCCCATGCTGAACAGGTTTCACGCTTGGCTCTCCCAAAGCTTCTAGAGGAGCATATGACTGCCGCTTGGGATTTACAAATATGCCTAAGGATTCCATCGGCAATACCATATCCCGTGCAAAATGGCCCAAATGCCACACGCCTTGGTCTGCGACAAGATCATCAGCAGCTCGTCGTTGGACCTGGCTGCTGCAATTCACCGATTGCATATTCGGACTTCCAGTGGATTTACACGGGAGAAATGGCCAACGGATCTGAGGTTTCTGCGCTGAGGCTCCGGCAAGAAAAAGAATCGCGGGAAGGCCAGGCGCTTCGTTTCGAGGTAGTCGTTCAAGCACTTCTGGATCTGATCTAGCCTGCGCTTGCACAAATCGACTTGCCCTGACCCAGAGGCAACATGGCCAACCACTTCTGAAAGACTACAAAAGGGGAAGCTTTGAAATCTCTACAGCGGAGCCTGTTGGCATCTGCCGCCAAACAAACTGCGTTGCAGGCGGTTTCACCCACACGAATGAAGGGATTGCCTTCAGCTTCCTTTGCCCTACCCTGGCGCACTTCTTGTTGCCCTCGGTGAAATGCAGAAGTAGGTTCTCGATCTCCGACACATCCAGGACCTGAGCACGTTGCAAACCACAGCCCCTTAATGGGGGGGGGACGTGCACGCTTCGTGTTTCGACCATCGTTCTGTTCGGAAAACACTGGTGGTTCCCGCGGATTTGTAGTCCTGGTGAAGCTCCACTTGGAATGCAGGCTTTGGCAAGCTTGGGCGGCGAGCAATGGGATTCTCCTCCACGGCAGCCATGGTGTCACGCCAGAGCCTAGCGCTAATGCGGGCAGCACAGCAGGGCAGGCTTCCTGGGGGAAGGAAAAAACGCGTCGGGAAAAACAGTGAGCTCACAGGACAATACTACATCCAAAAGCCACTAAAAGCACTGAGTCGGACAAAAGTGATTTTAAAGTGGCTCAAATGTGTCGATGCACTCGCCAGATTTGAAAGCTGGAGGCCCGGCTTGTCCACGGCTTGGAACTTCTTCGCCTCCTCGGGCATCTGTCGGACCTCGGCATTGGACACTTCGAGCCCAAAATTCCCTGGCCTTTTGCGGGGAATGCCTCTCGCCAAGCCGAGAGTGGACCAAGGATATGGCCGGAGACTCAAGGCAACAGCCAGCCCCAAAGCCAAAGGAAAGCCTTCTTCACGGTCTTAGGGGTTCGGACTGCCAATATCATGATCGACTTGGGGAGGGCAGGCTGCGACTCCGGCGATATCCTCGGAGCAGAAGATCGGCTCCAGGTAGAGCCACGTCCTCTCAAGTCGAAGCGAGTGCAGCGAAACAGCACAGAAGATGTCAGGGGCATTCCTAGCCTTCCAAAATCAACTCATACGGACTATGGACGAGTAAGATTATATATGCCCAAAACTTTAAAGCAAATGCTTGGCAAATGAGGCATTCCGAAAATCCCGCAAGTTTGATGTTCTCAGGCATGCTGGCTCATGAGGGCCCAAGTCCTCTGCACCATGAGCCATTGCTCCAGCAAGTCCTGCGTAAGCACACCGGCTCCATGGGTAGAACGTGTAGCACGCTGTTTTGGGTGTGGCCTGGATGTACAGGAGCTTGGCCTCCCAGTCCTGCGGGTGACTTAAACTAAGGAGAGAGAAAAAGAAGACAAACAAAAAAGGAAAAAGAAAGGTTGAAAAGGTCAAAGCCTCCTGAGCAAAAGAGCTCAGCTGGCCTTCTTTTTGATCTTTCCCTTTCAAAAAAAAGGGCCCTCAAATTGAAGTCGCACCCGTCCAGGGGCCGGGCACTGCAGACCGCGCCTTGACCTCCTTCTCGATGGGCTTCACAAAGGGAGATCCGCGGACGGCCTTTCCAAGCACGGAGAGTCGCAGAAATGTTCGGACCATCTCTGCTCGAATGCCACCTCATAATGCCAGGCCTGGGTCTTGATGATGTGGTCGTCCAGCAACGCTTGCACATCGTCGGCTCCTGCACCATGTTTCACGCCAGGCAAGTGGCCGGTGTCAAGTCTCCGAAGCCCAAAGTCCTTTCAGAAGGAAGGTGCCAGTGTTCTTGTAGGCGAACGTGCCAAACCTCCCGCTCGAAAGCTTGCGCGAGTCCCACACCAACAGAGTCTAAGGCACGGGCGCCATGGCTTTCCACTCGTTCTTCATGGTCTGCAGGGCCACCTGCCAAACTCGCAAATGCCCGCTTGTTGATTGTTGCTTCCCTTGCTCGGGCACTGGTGTGTGCAACCGTGAAAGATAATAATCAGGGCAGGGGGACTAAAACCGGTGTTACACAATGGCTAAAAACCTACTTGCCCCAAGACTTGCCCTCCCAGCCTTGAGGCCGTGCTGCTTCTGAGCAGAAGTGCTGATCGCCTCAACCTGGCGAAAAGACGTCCACTCGCCTCTGACGTGGGGCCTTCAGGGTAACAAGTTGCCTTGTCCACGTGGTCCATCATTCCTGCTTCCAGGCACCTGCGCATGGGCATTCGCAGGCTCTGTCCACTGCAAATTCTCCAAAGGGAGATTCCTCTCTAAATGGCAAGCTTTGGGGTTCAATGTTGATCTACCGAGAGGTGGGTTGTTCTATGCTCGAGAAAAGCCAGAAACAGTCAAGCCCGAAAGCGCAGCCCAGCAGCATCGTGAGCGTCAAGCCATCCTCCATATCAATGTCCACGTCCATGTCCTGTGCACAGGCGCGATGCACGTCTCCTTGACCCCCACCCCATCTGCGTCGTCCCCTCCTCGAAAAGCTGCAGCAAGTGCGAGGTCTTGATTGCTGGCTGGCAGAGGCCCTAGCAGGTACAATGCTCTACGAGAAACTAACGCGGCGTTCCGCGACACAATGTTGAACCCGGATAAGTCAAAAGCGAAGGATCCCCTCTCAAATGGGACGACCGCTAATCAACATCTACCAGGAGGGCAAGTTAACTGTGTTTGCAGGGGGCGCGTTCCCCCAAATCCACCAGCAGGGCATTAATTCATCCAGGGTCAACACGCTCAGGCGCAGGTGAATTCAACTGACGGGGAGTTCACGGGACGTCGAATGCCTGGATGATGGGCATGTTCTTCTTGAAGGCTTGCACCGCGCTCCGGAGCTCCTGGTGAGAATAAGTTGCGTTCCAAACAAGCGCTCAGACCTCCCGACGTTTTAGGGGAACAGGGGGAAAACGGGGGGTCGAGGTCTCTGAGATCTCCTGCGCCACCTTCTGCGGGTTGGGCGTGCCCTCAAAGGACTTAAAGGCCTTGTAGGAGTCCTCCCAATTGATCATCAGTGTCAGGCGATCCAACCCCTTCAAATCAACCATTTAACACCCATTGCGTGCGGAAAACACCAAGCACCGGCTGACTGTCAGCCGCAGCTTGAGCGTTGCGCCGGGCCTTGAAGTTGTCGTCCACATTTTGCTCCACCTCGCCGGCGGACAGGTTGGCCAGCTTCCCACTCAGCCACTCCTCTTCGCACCTCGGCAAAATTCAGACGCGGTCTCGTGCCCCTCGTGCCCCGTGTGCCCTCAATCCGGTTCGTCTGCCCTCCGACCGTCTGAGGCCTTTGCGAGTTGTACTCGATGGCCATGGACCACAAATCGAAGTATGGCTTGTACTCCTCTTGCAGCACCTGCAAATGCGAGCTTGACACGCACCGCGCAGAAACAAAACCACACATGGGCCTCTGGGGCATACGCCTTTGGCCAGTCTCATTGGCTAGGCCAAACTGATCCGACCCCTGCAGTTTGACATGTTTTCTGGTGAAAAATGGAACACGCTGCAACCCCAAAAGGACAAAGTGGCAAGAGGCGCGTTGAGGGCCATAGTAAGAGGCAAGCAGGTGGCCCAAAAGCTTGCACTGTCGACGTGTTCCGGGCATGTCAGCGGCTAGATCCGCCTCAAGGTCTGAGTAGTCTCGCTGGTCAATCTGGAAAAGCTTCTCGCGATCGGAGAACGACTTGACCTCAGCGGTGATCTCAGAGCTGGCGCTAGGCTGAAGGTCTGAGCCCGTCCATGCTTCAATCTCTTTCTGGGGAACTGCTTGCCGCAAGAAAAGGCCCCAACTACTGGGAAACAGTGCGACAACTATTGGAAGAGGGAATGCTTTCTGCACGCAAGGCTTTGCTCAAGTCAGATGATGACCTTACCGAAGCAAGAAAAGGACCCTCTGTGGGCGCAGCCCGATCGGTTGCTCGCACCAGATTGTCCTGGTGCATGCCAAACTTCAGACTGTAACTTTAATTCACTGCAAGGTTGCTGGACAAATGAGGTTTTCTGGGCAACACCAGGATCAACACTCCTTATGTGATAACATCTTTGGGCATGACTTTCTTTGGTGGGCATGATTGACAAGGTGATGTACGCCCACCCATTCACAGAGTTCGATGCTTGAAGGATACATCCAGAAGCCGCCTGCCCTACAAGAAGAAACTCTAAAAACAGCTGGAGAAAAATATCCGCTGGCACGAACTGTTTCTTCAAGGTACCCGGACTGCTTCCCAGCTGGCAATGGGCTGAATCCATGTCAATGAATACACACACACCTATATATACATATATGTGTGTGTGTGTGTGTGCATACGTGTGTGCATGTCTATAGCTGGGCAAGCAAGCATTATTTCCTGCATGTATGAATGCATAGAAACATGTATGTATGCCTGTATGTATGCATGCATACATGCATTGATAAATGCATGAACGTGGGCATGAGCATATAAGCATGTATGTATGCATGCAGGTATACATGTACGCATGAACGTGAGAATGAGGATGTAAGCATGTATGTATGCATGCATGTATGCATGTAACGCATGAATCCATGTATGCATGTTTGCATGTTTGCATGTTTGCGTGCATGTGGCAAATATGTATTCATACATGCATGTTTGCGTGCATGCCTGGATGCATGCATGCATGCACGCAGGCACTCACGGGTATGTGTGTGTGTGTGTGCGTATGCGCGCACGTGGGTGTGTGTGTGTGTGTCAATGTGTGCGTGTGGACCACCCTGGATCACGGGTGTCCCGGTTTTGTTTGGTTTGCCGTCCTTGTGGAGTCGCACCCCGCGGGCCTCGCGGGGCCTGATGAGCATGGCCCGTGGGATTGTTTTGGGTCGCCATGGGCCTTAGGGCAGCTTGGGGCTCTTTCGTGATTGTGCTCAGTTTCTCGCAGTGGTTTGTTCGTGACGGTGTTGTTGTTTCGCGTTGCTGACATGCTTACCACCAGCGATGAATGTGCCGCGTCTTTGTCAGCCGAGTGAATATCGCTCTTCAAGTGGTGTCTATGTCTGTGCCTGTGTCCGTGTCTGTGTCTGTGTCTGTGTGGGTGTGTATGCATGTACGCACGCAGTCATGTAGGCATGTATGCGTGTATGTGTGCATGCACACCGGTATGCATGCATGCATGCATACATGCTAATATCAGATATGCATACCCATTTCTGTTTGATACCTTGCAAGAGCTGTCAAAAGGTACCCCTCTCCAAAGAAGCAAAACAAGAGTGTTGATCTTGACTTTCGACTCCCTGCCTATGTTCGACTCCATTTCCTACTTTCATTTGCTGTGCTTGACAACACGCTGCGCGTGCAACTTCTCCCGTCCTGCAGGGTCTGCACCCTCTGGGCCACCTGCCCGGCGACGGCGTAGGAGTCGAGGCCCTTGACCCACTCCAATTCCTGCACGCTTCTGGCTCGGCTCGACGAAGTGAGCCCCACCAAAATCGGGCTTCGGTTTTCCTTTTGGCCCAATAGCACTCGGCAAACTTTGAAAATTGGATGGCCTTTGCTGTCTCAACCCCCGATTTGCGTTGTGCAAAAGTCTACAAATAGCAGCGTCAGTAGCAGGAGCGGAGTGGCCCTTCTTTCGCTGAGGCGAAGGCGGCCGTGTACTTCTGGAAGTCCACTTGGTACTCCTCCACTTCGCGCTGCAGCTGTTCCTGACGTAGCCCTTTCAAACACTGTAACACCCACCCCGAAACACTTGTTTTGTTGCCAATTGTCAAAGGGAATCGTTTGATATGTTCTCTGAACGTACCCAAGACATGCCAGAAATGGTTCATGGGAGAGAAGGAATCTCTGGTTTCCGGCCTCTGAGGCCAGCTGTCCGGTTCTCTTATGTTCTCTTGGCGTGAGGGCTCCGACTTCAGCCCCGGGCCATGAAGGCGATCTTGTCCTTGTTCAGCTGCCGGTCTGCCCTAAGCCGCGCGAGTCAGAACTGCCTCCCAGCGGCTCTGGCCGGATATAGCGGGCTTGATGGCTGAGGTATTCGCTCCATGACGTCCATGTTGATCTGCAGCGGCCACTCGAACCTTGGACAACTTCACACTCCAAATGCGTTGGAGAATGTTGTTTTTTCGAGAATGTCTGAGTTTATAATTTTGGAAGAGTTGTTCCACGCACTCCATTGGCTTTGTAATGACAGAAGTTCGGACAAACCCCAGGCACGAAGGCAGTCTCGACAGGCCCCCGAACGATCTGAAGGCCTTCTCCACCACTTCGCTACCCACCTCAGTCGCTTGAAGCCACGAGCGGCCGCCACGAGATGCGCCCTGAGCGGCCGGCATCGTGGCTGAAACCCTCCACCATGTCCATCTGCTGGTGCACCACGCGGGTGCGCTCCTCGGATCTGACAAACGCACTCTGGCTGCAGCTCACACACCGTCGCCCACATGCCCTGAAGGTGTCCAGTATTTGCGGCATTTTTAGGCAAAGTTCTATGTCAGTTCAAGCTCCAGGTCAGGCGGAGGTTCCGGAGTTCAGTTTGGCCAAGCGGCCATCAATGGCTTCACCACCTTGCGCTGCACCACCTCCATAAATTCCCGAAGGTCGGCCTGCGGCGTGGGGAAAAACATGAAAGAGCGCAGACACCACGTGCCTTCGTCCTGCGTCACTCCTTTATCATCCCTCTCTAACAATCATGGAAGCGGACAGAGGTTCCCACAAAGAAGGTCTTCCAAAACCCGACGTGGTCCGCTTCTATTTGGAAACTGAAGCCATCTCAGCTCCCGAGCCATGTCTTTCTCCGACTCAGGGCTGGAGAGAATGCGGCGGTGCGTGGTGTCCTTAGCCGGCAATGCGACAGAAACTGTCAAAACTTCTCCAGTAAGACTTTCGACTAGCAACCACTTTCAAACCTGGGCAACTTTCGTACCCCAAGAATGCGAGGGTCATTTTTATTCCAAACTTTGGCCGTTCCCCGCAAGAACTGCGCGCAAATGAGCCTTTTCTTCATGGGTTAATACGAGGCTGGGATATTCACCGGGCCCTCGCTTGGCTCCGCGCCCACTCCGTGAGGATTCCGTCCGCCCGCTCCTCGATGCACTCGCTGACCTGGCCTGCAAGACCCGGGCAACGCTAAAGAGAATCCCACGGCCTCTTTGAACAGGTCCAAACATGGCTAAATTGGTTTTGGAACAAAAAATCGAGCAAAACTAGTTTGAACAAACCGAAAGCACCAGGGCAATTAACGCAGGGTGCAAGCGTTGTTTTTGTTTTACAGATTGATAAGGAAGCACAGCTAGTCTTCACTTCACAATGCTTCTGCAACGATGAGCATGTCAAAAAATAGGTGGTCCCAACAAAACAAAAGTGAACTACCAAGAGGCAAAGGGTTCACCGTTTTTAGACCCCGTGCATGAACAGTTGGGAATGAAGTAAGATTGGGGACACTTTGGCGGACATCCTCATCATGTGAATGGCAACTCCCATCAACTATTCAATTTGAGAGGATGTTCCAGATCAAATGCATGCTCATTTGGGTAGTATCTAGAGGGCAAACACCGTACGCCCCTCGGAGAAGAAAACAAAAAATGACAAAAAATTCAACGACTGCGCAACAAAACCCTGGGTCCAAAGCCCAATGTGACGCCGAAGCTGCGCCGGACAGCGGCCGGGGCCCCACGCGGAGGCACTCCTGCGCCAGGTCCTCGGCCTGGAGACGCGATCAGTGGCATCGGCATAGTCCACAAGCCGAATAGGCCGAATAGGCCGAGGCCGAGGCCCAAAAGGTTGGGTCACAGCCGGTTTAGGGCCTGTGATTTTGTCAGGTTTCCGGCGTTGCAGAGTTTGGGGACTTCGCCAGATTGCCTTGTTCTGAGGCCGCATGGCCCTACGCTCGGAAATGTGCAGGTTGAGCTCACCGAGCCAAGGCTTGATTGGGCTGAAGTTTTGGCCCAATGCCTCGGCAAACTGTCTTCCCACAGGGCAAACGCTCACGGCTCACTGAACCTCAAGAAGTTAGGGAAAGAATATTGCTTACTGAACAATCAATGATTGAGATGGATCACCACCTGGAAATGAACACCCCCACCAAGCATGTGTTCGAACGTAACGGCGTACCTAATCCCAGGCGCAACTGAGAATGAGGCCCGGATTTCTACGATGCCGGGCCGGGGGTTTCAGAGAATGCAGGTTGCCCAGGGTTTGAGGGAAGCCTCCCAATGGCAAGGGCAACACACCAAGCAGCAAACGCCAACCCAAACCACTCCCCAACCACCCGCAACCACCCCCAACCCCCCCCAACCCCCCCCCAACCCCCCCCAACCACCCGCAACCACCCCCAACCCCCCCCCCCCAACCCCCCCCAACCCCCCCCAACCACCCGCAACCACCCCAACCCCCCAACCCCCCCCAACCCCCCAACCCCGCAACCACCCCCAACCCCCCCAACCCCCCAACCACCCGCAACCACCCCCAACCCCCCCCAACCCCCCCCCCCAACCGCCCTCAAGCACCAAACCACCGACCTCACAGGATCCAACCACTTACCGAACTTACAGCCTTGTGTGGAGAGCCAACCACCCGCCTTCTCCGCGAGCACTTTGATGATTTCCGCACTGCGGAGCCGGAACAGCGGGAAGTCCTGCAGACTTCAGTCAGTAGCAAACAATTCCTGAACATGAGAGGTGGCAGGAGCGAAGCACATGTCAAAGTTCGAACTTTCAAATTGGGCATCCTCTGCACAGAACTTGCAACTTGGGCTTTCTTTCAACCACCAAGCATCGGGAGATTTCCCAAATCACAATTCCTACCCAAGGTGAAACGACACACATCGAGCCGACGCACGGCAGTCCACGATGCTCTGCGACAGAACTTGCACTTCATACTTGGCCCTTCTGTAGGCTTCGATGCCTGTGGATACCACGGCTCGGTGAGAAAATCGAACTCCCCTGGCCCCAACATCTGCATGCCAAAGTAGGGCAAACAAACACCCAGAACTTCCAGAACAGTATGGGCAAACACCCAGAACTGTAAGCCGCTTGCAACAACCGTAGTGCACATGCTCGAAGATCCGTAGGACAGGCTCTCAGGCGCTCACGCTGCTGACAGGCTTCGATGTCCGTGGGGTCGAAATCTGGTGCAGGGATTTCGACGTCCGATTTGAAATTCAAGTGGCTGCTTTGACACGCTTCATGTCACCCTGGCTTCTGGGAAAGCCAAAATTTGGGTTGGGGTCACCCCTTATTTTGTCGGAGGACGTGGGGATTGCTTCAAAGCAAAAGTCGCCTGTCACTTTCTCCCGCAGCAAGTACGAGTACTTGCGAAACCTCAGGACGCGGCTATGCGGCCTGGCAGCTTCATGGGAACCCAGGATTCATAAACCCCGGGTTGATTTTGATCCGGGGTGGGGATTATTACCCCTTCTGTAACACTTATGAAAAGCAAAGATCGGCGTGGCAAGTCTCGGCCGAGCGCCCGACTGCTCCAAGATCTGCTGTGGCCCTTCGCTGCATGTATCGATCACCTGATGATTTGCGACACCGACCAATCGCGGTGCCTTCTTAGGTAGAGATGGCCCCAAAGCCACCAACGGTCGCGTTCTTGTTGTGTTTTCTTTGGGGCTCACACCGAAGCCTTCTGGGGGGTAGGAATGGGCACGAATTTCTCCTTACTTGTGATTCCGATTCGGATGCGATGAGCCGCGGCCTGCACGGTGACGGCACAAGCATTCTCCAGCCTCGGTGCAAATCTCAGCACATTTCGCAACTCATAAGCCCCGAGGGGAAGGGAAAGCTGATTCACAGGAAAGCGGTCAATTCAAATGGCCTTCCTTCCAAATGCCAAGCGTGTGTTTTCCGGCGGTCTCACCAAGAGACGCCACCCCAAAAAGGGGTGAAAAGCGCTATGTACAGACCGGACGCATCTCCCGGCTCTTTGGCCGGCCGACTCGCCTTGATGCGAAGCCGTGCTCACCGGCCGAACCAGCTCTTCCTAGCCTTGCTGCCACTCTTGCTGGCACTATCCTGCAACTGTCTCTCATGAGGCCGAAGCGGCCGGAATGCAAAAAGCCATGCGAAACAATCACCAAGGTCGGTGTCGAAAGTTGGGGATGCCTCTTCTTCCTTCTTCTTTTTCTTATCCTTTTCTTTCCTTACATGCTCACTTTCCATGCTGATGGCCACGCGGTCAACATGAACAACTCTCCAATTGCTGTGCCAGGGTACTTATCCTTCTTCTCTTTCCTCGGCTGTGCACAACTTATGCTCAAGAACCTGACTTGGGCTGTTTTGTCACCCCCCCTTTAGCATTGAAAGTGCAGCAAAACCAAATGTTCAGCTATCAGCCAAGCATCTGGGGATCCGGCCTGGAAAGGCACGGTGAGACATGAACCAAGCTCACGCAAACGTCTGCCAAGCGACAAGTTGCAGTAAGCCACCCCATCTACCGTATTCCCTTAAGGCAGGCACTTGTCAGGGCCAGGTTCTCTAGGTTCCCTGACCTCAGCTTGCAGCTCGCCACCAAACTTCGCTGCACATCAAGCAGAATGCTGCAGAGGTACATCGGACTGTCTCCTCCCCTGGAGAAAGGCGTCGGCAGCACACGTCGACAGCCCTCACGGCGCCCAGCCTCCGCCTCCATTTCGTGCCCCTCGTCGTGCTCCCCGTGCTCCCTGTGCTCCCCGTGACCCGCGTCCAGCGCAGGCACTTCGGCCTCAGCGAAATGCATCGCAAGTGACCGAAGTGCCACGCACCGCGCCTCCCGCGCTTCAGAGACGCGAGTGTCGGCGCCGGTCCTCAAGCACGAGAGAAATTCAGAAAAAAGAGGCTCTGAGAGCCCGGAGGTTCTCGGAACCTTCCTGCTTAGACTCACAAGCCACAAGCCCCGCACCCGGCAGTTCTGGACACTTCACCAGGTGCAGGCGCTTTGCCAGGTACTTCTGCAGTTTCGGCTGGCGCTTCAGCCGGCTTCTCCTTTGGATCGCTTCTATCGGCCCATCAGCCCAGAAACTTCATTTGCATGCCGCTTGTGTGTTTGTCTCCCCCCAATGCGACGGATATGCTTAGCAGCCTGGCTCTGCCCATTCACGTCGACCCCAAAGCATGTCGCCTCAAAGAAACTGCGCCGAAAGACTGACCCGCATCTCCGCTCCTCGGTGGCCGCTGCGCCCCAAGCCGAAGCCCGGCTTGGCTCCGCCACATCCTGGCCGAAGGTTGACATGTTGGACATTGGACGTTGCTTTCCCGTTGAAGAAAGCTAGAGTGCCAACTCCAAAAAGACACACCCACCCTGCACCCAACCACACCCAACACAACACCACCACACCACACATTACCACGCCACGCCACGCCACACCAAGCCACATCACACCACACCACACCACACAACACCACAGAGAGAGAGAGAGAGGAGAAATTACAAAAAAAAGACACACACAGGTACGCAAACACAAAGGCACACACGGAGAATGCTTTGCAGCTAGCAGCCGTCGCCTGCGGCTCAACCGGTGGTTCCTGATGCGGAAAAGTACATGCAAAGAAAAAGCATGCCGCATGCCCTCTTCCTCAAGGCGCTCCAGGCCTCGGCATTGCGCGCACGCTGCGTGGCAGTTGAGCCCTGCATCGCCTGCTGCTCGGCGGGGCTCCTGGGCACATCTGACCATTCGCCAATCTTCGCCAATCTTCGCCATTCGCGCCCCGGCTGTCCTCCAGGGCGCCGCATCCGGATGGCCCGTCGGGAGGTGGCTGGGACGCTTGTGCATCTGCGACACGGGTTTTCGGGGCCCATCCGCATGCGCATGCCAGCCGGTCCCTGGATGGCTTGCAGGGCTCGGATGATATCGGTGAGGGCTTCGAGGCCCCTTCGGACCCTGGCGCAAGACACTTGGAGCCTTGCACCAAAGAGTGCCGCGTCTCCTCAGGCGGTCTGACCGGGTGCGTGTACGGCTTGGGCTGGTCAAGGTCGCGGTAGTGGTCACGGTAGTAGTCGTGGCCCTTGCCCTTCCCCGCCTTGCGACAAGCAAAAAAAGGCTGGAGAGGCAAGCAAAACGTAACGACCCACGAACCGAACCGCGCCTTGCCCTTGCCAAAGCCCTTGCCCTTTTCGTATCCTCCGCACCATCTCATGAGCCAGCCATTCCAGGGCGCTCAGGCTTCGGCCAAATGCTCCTGATGTTCCTGATGGTCCTCCCGATGGCCCGCCTAAATTCGGAGCCAAGGGAGCAGTGAGGGCTCAAACGGCACCGAGCGCCGCACGGAGCTGCTGCAAATCTCGCTCGACCTGCGCTCCGTGCTTAGGGGATGAAGGCATGGACCTCTAGTCTAAGACGCCGCCATACTTTTGCTCTAGGCAAGAAACCGTGGTTGGTCCCTGCTACCGCGATTGGGAAACACCCGCGCCGCCTGCCGTTGCTCCTGCTGCAGCTGCCGCAAGCGTTGCACTTGGGGCTCCAAGTGCTGCTCTTGGTCGGGCTTCGGCCTTGGCTCTCCCGAGGTCTACCTCAACAACAAACTTTGGTTGGGTTGGCACCAAATACTTTAAAGCCAGCTCCACTTCCCGCAAACTCAACTTTCGACTTGCTTCAGAAGAGCGCCCCGAACAAACTCGGAACATGATAGACAAAAGAAACGATGACATCGCAGGCGCTTGAGAGGCGCCACAAGCATGTTTTGACCACTGCATAAACACGTATACTCATGTTCTGGCGAACCAACGAATCGGCGAGGCGCTTGCCCAGCGCCGACTTCACCTGCTCAACGCGCTTCGCCAGCTCCGCCAACCTCAGGCCACAGGCATCGTGAAAGGCAGCTGGAAGATAATGGGAGAGGGGCCAGGCCTGAAAGCCCGGCAACCTCTTGGAACAAGGGGAAAATATGAATAAGCAACCACCCTAATGGCCAAGCATTGCTACCAGTAGCTTTTGGGTTCTTTCTGGTTACCTTCCAGTTTGCTCAGCGGGCCCCACCCCCCCACTACAATTTTGGTTGGTGAACGAAACGTGGTCTCTCCCAAAAAGGTCCAACTCTTTTCTGTCAGAAGCTCCCCCCAAGAAACTTGCGGGGATTGTCACTTCTCCTCCAGAGGAGAGGGGATTGCGATGCTAGCCTTCCGGGTGCCAGAAGAGAGGCGGGTATGCGGACCTGGGGTCTCAGCCAGCAGGGTAACATCGGGGTACATCAGCCTTACATCAGCTTCCCTTTGGCCTGCTGAACTAGGCCGGAAACTTCCACCGAGCGGCTCTGCCTGGTGGCTCCTACGCCTCTCCGCGCGCTGCGCAGACAGCTGCGCCAGGTCCACGGCTGGACGCAAGGAAAGCAACTGGACAACGTCTCTCAGGTGCTACATGCGGGCCCGATGTGGACAACTTTCCTGCGGGTACGGTACTACAGAAAACGCGACCATGACCCACACAGAGATCTTCTTGCGGCATTCTTCACTTTGGTGGCTTCCTTTGGTAACCGAACCTACGCTCCCGCCTGAATCCGCAGAGCTTGCGATGGGCCTCAGACCAAAGTCTCGGGTACACCTCAGGCGCTGCGTCTCAGGGCCCAGCTTTCCCACAGAAGGCCTCGGGCAAAACTCAAGCCACTGCCAAGCTGGGTCCCACACTTCCACCTCTCTTGCCAACCCTCAAAACGCAAATGTCTTCGTTTTCTTTTGCTCGGTTTGCTGAATGGCCCTTGGCTCTTTACATTCGAGCTGCAAATGTCCCTGTACCACAGCTTTGGACAGCAGTTGCTCCCGGAGATGGCCAAGCTCCGGCACCTGCCACCCGCCCCCAACAAAATCATAAATAGAACGTGCCAAAACCGCACAAGGCAACTGCAGACCCTACAAACGCATCAAAAAAAACACGCAAAGACCACAAAGACGCGCACGTGAGAAGCGTGGAACTTGGGTCGACCCCCGCCTTGCGGGGTGCAGCGCCAGCCTGCTTGGCCTGGAGCTGCTGGAGCAAAGCCTGGCGCCGGCGCACGGCCTCCAGGTAGTGCTCGCTCATTCCCTGGCGCGAGCCCCGAGCTTTTTCGGATTCGAGTTCCTCCCCTGCGTTTTGAATCAAGTGGTAGCCCTTTCTGAAAACCAGTTTGAGGCTGGCAGGTGCGTTTTTATGCGAATCGCGCCGAAAAGACCAGAAATGCTTCAGCCTAGGCGCTGGGCCCCAGGCGCGGCAATCGCGCAGTGCATAGCTGACCAGGACATTCTAGGTTCAGGCTTGGTTTGCGGCCCCGAAACTGAGCCAATGGCAGAATGGAGAAGATTCCACAGTTGTTTACTATGTGCATGTGCATGTACATCTGTATAGCTATGCATACATATATACACTGTCGATTGTATGTGTGCTACATTCGCAGGTTCACGGTTGCCGTGCCGTGCTTGACCCAACGCTACGAGAAGTGTCGGCAAGCGCCTGCAACTGTCATGAACCCCTTCATTCGGAGTTTAGGAAACGATGCCAGCAGTCCACTTGAAAGGGACGGATTGGCCCAACCCTGGCACTGGGCTGCAGGGAGGCGCTACTGACGGCCGCGGCGGTTCGTAGTCCACGTCGTCTCCATCTGGGCCTTCGGTTGGGGTGGGTCGGCTGGGGGGGGGAGACGCCTGGCACGGCTGGTCCAATCACAGCCAAGCGGCTTAGCTCAGGTGTGAAGAGGACGTGCTCCTCCACCTCTCACTGCAGATGCGAGTTCCCCCATGCCTTCTTAGACATAGATGACCGGATGCGTTGACACAAGTCACAAAGCCAGCTGTGAGAGTTTGGCCGGCAATTCCTGCAACCCTAAAACCTGGGAGTTAAACTGCCCTCGTCACTTCAAGGTCTCTCTTTGCACATCAGTAGGGCACGTTGGTGAAGGGCATCAGCTCCGTCTCCATGGTGCGCACCTGGCGGGCGCATGCGTCTCGTGCCTCGCATGTTCAGTCTGCTTTGAGGGCTGGACGATGTTGGTTTTCCGGACCGCCTCCCGCAGCATGCCGTCGAATTCGTGCGGAAACTCCTGAGATTGCGGTGCCGTGATGCAAATCCTCAAGGCTCAGCCGACAGTCCTGGGGCTCCGGTTCCAAGTAGATCTCATCCTGATCAGCCTGCACTGCACTTTGAACTCATGCCTCTGTTCACATTTTCCCGGCCTCCAAGTCAATGTACAAAAGAGGAGCCGGCCGCTTCTTCTGCGGATCCGGTAGGAAGGACTTCCTCACCAATCTCACCGCATGTCGGCGCCCAAGCCGCTCAAACCAGCTGCGCGGAAAACACGCAGGGCTGCTTTGATTGCGGCACTTGAACATTATCCCCAAAATGGTTATTTCCTTTCTGGTGGAATTGGTGCTTCAAACTTGCCAAAGGAGCCCTGACAAGTAACAGTGGCTTGGCTTCAGCCGAGCCGCAAGAAGTTGCACCAGGAATCCATGGAGTCCTGCAAAAACCTCGGCGTGAGCACGTAGCACGGCTTTTGCAGCCCAAGGACCCGCGGGCGATGTGGGCTCTGTATGCGGCGTTAACCCCATCAAAGCCAAGTGTCCACCTCAGCTGAGAGTTGATGATGATGTCCTCAGATGCAGCACGACCGCGGCAGGTTTGGCGAAGTTGCCAAGCAGGCCAAGCAGGCCAAGCAGGCCAAGCAGGCCAAGCAGGCCAAGCAGGCCAAGCAGGCCAAGCAGGCCAAGCAGGCCAAGCAGGCCAAGCAGGCCAAGCAGGCCAAGCAGGCCAAGCAGGCCAAGCAGGCCAAGCAGGCCAAGCAGGCTCTAGTCAAGTCGGGAATCCAGCTTCCGGAGAAGGGCATGCAATGGGCTTGCCATGTGCTTCTCGATGTCGTCGCTGAAAAAGTTGTAATCATCTGACAGCTTGTCCAACACCTGCATGGTTTGTACACTCTCGCTGTTGCAGAAAGTACCGGTGTATGTGCGCATCTCTTTCTCTCTCTCTCTCTCTCTCTATCTCTCTCTCTCTCTCTCTATATATATATATATATCTATCTGTGTGTGTGTGCTGTTTTGTGATGTTATCTGTGAAGGTGTTGTCTTCTTGGCCTAGCATGCAACGAAAAATGAGCGCAAACATATCGTCCAAGCTTGTGTGCCAATTGCGTCAACAAGAAGCCGGCAAATCACGATGTGTTCAACTTCCGCACGGTGCCTCTGCGATGATGTAGTCGCGCCAACCTCGCTTCAGGTGTGTGGTGATCCTCTCTATGTGGTTCTTCTGGTGCTCAAACATGTCCTGAGCCGCACATCATGGCAAATGGCTGGCACTACGTGACAGGGGCCCCCCAGTGAGATCTGTTGCCAGGATATCCCAGGTCAAAATCCTGGAAAAGGAAATCAACGTCATCCAGCCTGTGGCAACCCCGAGCAAACCCTGTCCTGGGACTCAAAAAGGATAGAGTCCGAGTTCTTGACGAGCTTGCGCTGCCTCGTCACGTCCACGCCACCCACTCGGGTGGTGTCGATCAGCTCCAATTTGGCGACCTCGTTCATGTAGCGCCTCCAAACCTGCCGTGGCTGGGCGAAAGCTCGCTTAAGCATGAGCTGCTCGACAAAGTGGCCAAACCTTCAGCCGCAAAAGTGGCCTGGTTGGTGATGGCGAAAATGTTCGCGCCCAGGAGCGGCATTTGCCGCATCTCTGCGATGAGCTGCTTCACAGCCATCTGCCAATAAGCGGCAGAAGGTTGTCTCGATAGCTCCGGCCAAAAACCAAGCGGGATTTGTGGCCAGGACAACTTCCTTGCTTCTTGATAGGTTTGCCATTGCGAATGCCCAATCAGTCTTGGGGTAGCGTTTACTCGAAGAATGACTCAGCGCAACGCAAATGGAAAGGAAAGCAAGCGAGGGAGATGTGCAAGAGGACGAGAGCAAGACAAGCAAACTGCGCAAAGACGACACGTCAAGCGCCACGCGAGAAGCTTCAAACTTCAAGGCCGGCAAACCTTAAAGTCCTTAGCGATGACACGATATCGGAACTCGTCAATATCGACATGAGCAGTACCACAAAAATGTGCCTATGGGTGTGTGTGTGTGTGCGTGTGTTTCCCCAACTGTTTTTTGGGGTTTTCCAGGCAGCTTGCCAAATTTCGCACCTGGCGGCCGGTGCGTTTTGATGGGCCCTGACGGGCAATACCCCAATTAAAAAAGTGGCCACCAGGGTTCCCTATCTGGCCTTCGCCAGCTCCCCACAAGACAACCACTAGCCTGAAAGGTGCCTCAATCCATTCTCAAAAAACGTGAGAAAGGGAAAGTGTGGCCATGGCGGAGCAACACCTGCTCCGGAAGAAGCCTGTCCCGTTTTTCGGCCAGCCTCAGGCTTCGCATGCTCCACCAGCCCAGACTCAGGGCATGGCCGAGGCAGAAAACCTGAGCACAAAATGCAACGAACCAAATGACTTTGCCAGAAAACGACGGCGAATTGGGTTACTTCCATTCAACAGAAACCGAAAGGAAACCAACAATCTGGATGCCTCTCAAATACGGAACTCCCTCCAAACGAACTATCCATGTAAATGTCCACCAAAGGGTTCAATGAAAGCAAAACGTTGCATCTTGTGACAAACGTGTCAATATTGCGGGATACCCCCCAGTCGCCACAGGCCACATTGTGCCCAATTGCGCCGCGCCGTGTCCGTTTTTGAGGCCAGGGGGCTGCGCATCACCGGCTCGAACTTCAGGGAGAACTCGTTGCTTTCGTCTGGGAGAAAAGCTTCCTGCCAGCCGAGGTATGGAGGTAAACTGTTTTGGGACCAGGGATGGCGCACAGCGGGTGATTGGGTCACCTCGGCGAAGTGGATGGGCTCCCTTTGGTCCCCTGGTGTCCCTTTCAAACAACCAAAATCGGTATGAAAATATCGAATTTTGACCTCTGAGTAATAGGACCCCCTGGTCACTGGTGAGGGAGTATTGATCAGAAATCTACGGCCAAAAAGGCAGGGCACAGCTTTCTGTCCTTTGTCCCGAAAAGAGGGATCAGCTCCACTTCCACATTGAACCTTAAGCGCAGGCGCGAGGAATGTCTTGAACTCTTGGCCAAACTGGCCCGACCCCTGCAAAACCTGCCGACTGGTTGGTGGTGAAGCTAAACGTTCGGTCTTCTGGGTGGACAAATGTATGCGAGACCCTGCTGTTGCCGTTCACCCCGCAACCTCATAAACCATCAGGCCATACGAATAAGTGCGGAGAACGGCTTCTTTCCCGTGCAGCTTGGCCACAGCTTCATGGAAAGCACGTAGTTCTCCTCCACCTCCTGCATGAGCTCCCGGATGGTGCTCGCATGAGAGTTGGGCTCTTGAAGGCTGCACCGCTCCAGGCCTAAGATCCCACGTCCAACCCATGTTTTTTGCACCTGGACCCTGAAACCGGTGAGAATTCGGAAACACCCCGGAACTTGGGGCAAGATCCGCAGCTTAGGGAGTTTGAGGGTGGGAGGGTGAAAGCTTGGGGCCGGGCAAGACCGGATGAAGAACTCCTTCATCGAGCGCGGCATGGGGGTCACTACTTTATCATCCTTGTACTCGATGTAGTCGATGAAGGCTTCTTGCAATTCGCAGTGGGCCTGGCACTGCACCAGGATAGACTCAAATCCATTCGCCCAAAACTCCCAGCCCGAGCCCTGCCTTCCTCGCTCGGCAGGTTTCTACGCGCCGCTCGAAGTTCTTTGGGTCCTCCGCGTTAAATCTCAACGACAGTCCTCAGCCGGTGGCACCCGCCAGGTGGCCGGGTGATTACCAGACACCTCTTGCGCGTCACGTGCGCGAGGGCTCAAGGGCAAGGGCGGAACGGCAGAAGTGGCTGAGCCAAGTTGCTCTTGACCTTCTTATGCGTGGCATCTTCGAGCTCCACCACATATCCTGAAGTGACGAAAGGGCAGGGATTGCTTGGACAAACACATTCCACTCGCAAGTTCGCAAATAAAGAAACCGAAAAGCATGACCTTGACTGGAGATCATGCGGCCGCCACATTACTTGCCCAACCGGCAAAAACCACCCCTGAACTGATGCAGGCGCCTCCTCTTCAAGCAACCTCCATTATTCCCTTCAAAGGAGGCCAGGGCCGGGTGGTGAAACCTTTTTTTGCCTGGCCCCACACCTTTCTTGGGCCCAAAAACCAAAAGGCAAAGACTTTGTCAACTCGTCCCTTTCAAACAATAATAACGTGCAACGAGCTTGAAGCCGTGTTCAGCCCAGGAGCTGTTGATCGCCTCCTCGTACCGCAGCACCCAGCAGCGCACCATGGTCCACTCTTTCCGCTTGTAGTGTACCACGCAGGCCTGTGGCCGGCTGGTATCTTTCAGCACCTGGCAAGGCGAACGAAGGAACGAAGGCAAAAGCATCCAATTTCAGACCCCGCCTCCTCCATCCACTCCTGCGGGGTCTTTACCTCAACCCGCCAATGTTTTGGTGTTGGTGCGATCCCATGTCTCCGCCAAACGGACCATGGACTACCTGGATGTTAAACCCACGAAACAAGTAGATGTAAGTAGGCGAAAAACATGGCCATACGGGCACTGACCCGTTATACCCCCATTTCGACAAGGAGCCTCGAAATCAGGAGTGTGATCGAAGATCTCCAGCGGAAGGTTCCGGAAGTTGAAGTGCGCCTTCTCCGGATGCTTCCGATACTCCAGCTTCTTTTCCTGAGAACCCTCAACTTGCTTCAGCCACATGACGGAACCGTGACTAGTTCCAGCTGGGCTTTGTTGATGCCCTCAGAAAGAATCAAAACGCACTTTGGCAGGGGTCTGAAGGGCTTTGTGCCTTGCTTGGTTGGGTTACCTCTCGTTTGGGTTGGATAGAAGCGGCCTACACCTCAGGACAGGCCTTCCCTTCAGACTTTACCCTGCCAAGCTTGGAAGAGGACAGACCGAAAGCTGCCACCGCTAACCAGAACTTCCAAAGCTGGCCGTACACTCGAGAACCAGAAAGCATGCCCGGAATTGAGCCGCCTGCCGTTCTTAAAAAAATCTGGAAAATGCACCACACACCTCAAGCAAAGCCCCTGTGAGGCCAGGTTTCGCAAAAAGCGCAGGCCGAGCCGCTTCTGCCACTTCTGCTGGCGCAGCGGCTGGATACGCAGTGCCTCCTAGAGCTTGAAGTCATCTGCTCAACCCTTGCCACAAACGGGAAAAGTGCGAAATTGCATCTGCATCCCCACTGCGAACGAATTCCCGCGCGGGTCAAAAACACCTCCGTCTCGAAAAGCTGCTCCCTCTTCCCAGCTCCTGTACTCCTTGGAGGGCTGGGCTCCAGGCTCACCTGAAACCGGCATGCCAGCCGAAAAATGATAATAAAACAAATGAACTAAAGCAAGAGAGAAGCAAAGAGAGAAAGTAGAGAGGGAGGTAAGCAAGCACGGACGAAAGAAGGAGATCCTCCTGGCGAAAGGCCCTGGTTTTCTTGTCGCATTCGTGGGAGGATACTTGAGTGGCACTAGATTCACTTGGAGTGTTCGCGAGCCCGAGGCCAAGCTAAGCCAAGGTGCCTCTGGCCGAAGCTCTGGCTCCGGCTTGCCTCGCGCGCTCTCGGGCGGTGGCTTTGTCATCTCACAGATGCGAGCAATATTTGTCGGTCCCCCCTAAGGATCCAGAAAACTTGGGTGGGTTGTTGGTTGTTTGCCGGGAACTTGGTGGGCCCCGTGTGCCTCTCCCCAAACGCATGGTAAGAATTTCACTCGCAGAAGCCGTCCTCGCAGGTTTGGTGTGCTGGAGGATGCTGTCAATGCCTAGCAAACATGGAAAGCCACGTGGCTGCACGTGAACGCACGTGGCCGCACGTGGCCGCACGTGGCCGCAGCCCAGGCCCCAAAACGACGTGGGCACGGGTGCCCCACGCCCCATCTTTCTCAGGCCGAGTTGCGCGCATCTTCTTGCTGATCCCGCCCGGGCCGACAATCTTGCTAGAAAGTTGTCCTATCTCCTGGGCTCCGACATATGCTCTAGACGCGCCATGGCAAAAAAACTCCAAGGTGTGGGTCCGTTGTGTTAACACCACCTTTACCAGCCACCAAGCTGGGCGTGGCATGCACCCATCCTGGAGCTGGCCAGACACGTCCGGTCGCCGGAAGTTTGGCACCTAGGAATTTGCAAAACTGGCTCATTTGCGGGTGCAAAAATGCCCAAAATTCCTGGTGTGTTTCTCTTTGACGACCAACACAAAAACAAGCTCCCCAACAAGGAGCCACTCATTTCAGCCCCCCGAGCCCCTAGTCGCAAGGTGAGCAGACAGGTGTGGGAGAAACCACTCCTCATGCCAAGGCCCCCCGCGGTCAGTGGGTGTGGCGCCTCGATGCGCGGCATGGACGCCGACTTCTCCATGCCCGACCTGGCCGCGCGCGAAACAGGCAGAGCGAGCGAGCGAGCGAGCGAGGGCGAGAGAGAGAGAGAGAGAGAGAGGGGGATCCCTCGCGAACGAACAGAAGCAAGCTTCTTCCAAGAGGGTAGAAGGGGAAGTGTGCAAAGTGATATATATATATATATATACATACATACATATATATATATAGGTACACACGTGTATATATATATATATAGATGTGTATAACTTGATGAAGACTGCAAATGCCCTATCATGACAGAGAACACCCACGCGGCATCAGTGCGGATCTGCCTGCCATGGATGGCCGGCAGCTTCGGCGGCGCCATGGCCTGTCCGAAGTCGACCCCCGGAAAGCCATCGGCGCTAATCGGAGGGTGACTTCTGATCTAAACACGGGAGGTTGGTGGCCGAGAAAGAAAGTTGGTTGCAACCAACAGGCCGCTCGCTCACAGAGTCGGTGCTTGAACAGGTGTAAGAACGGGGGTGGGCCCAACCCTGCTTTTTGCAGACACATCAACAAAGCTGAGCAGTTGTGTGGTCTTCGCAGCTCACTTTAGACCAAAACAAACTTTTGAGAGACTTCCCCTCTTTTTGGAAGAGAAGCCCAACCCGGGTCAAGCCCTGCCTCCTGAGGCGGCGCCAACCGCAAGCGCCGGGGTCTTCTGAGCCGGAAATCGCGGCGTGAGACGCGCTCTGCACCTCCGCTCTTGGGGGCGGAAGGAGACAGGTGCTCCGAAATTACCCAGGATTCATAAGCCCCTGATTTGGTTGATTGTCTTGATCCGGCGACACTTCCCTTTTTCCAGGGCACTCGTCTCAAAGGGACCTGCCCGTCATGACATGCACCACCCGGGCCTCTTGACTTCAGAAACTCTGGCACGCCCATCAACCGAGCTCGTTGGGTCCGAGCATGAGACCTTGGAAGAGTTTGATTCGAGGGCCCGGGGCGAGCTGCACCTTTGTGAGCAGCCAAATGAATTTGGATCTGTACTCAGGGGTGTGCGAGCCTAGACGGCGTCGCGTGGGGCTTTAAGGCCAGAAACAATTTGCATGCAGGCCGCGCCCTAAAGAGCTGTACTAAGAATGGAGAATCGAGCCACTCGAGGTGGAAAGGCGCCCATGCGCCACGGGCACTGTACGCTAGCTTCACCCCTGTAGGGATGGAAATTCTAAGATTACAAAATGGATTCGGCTTTGCGCCACACGGATGCCCTGGGCAACAGCGCAAGTATGGCCAAAGCTCGAACCTACTCTACGTGGGCCAACTGTTTCTGGGCCTTTTTGAGGAATTCGTCTCCGCTCACACGCACTAGGCGATGCGGGCTCTTGTAATATGTCACCTGCGCCTTTTCCATCTGCCTGGCAGCGATTCAGCGACGGCAACCGGATTCCACTGACAAGCAAAATATTGGCCCGAGCGGCTGCTGGATCGCTTGCTTCCTGGGATGCCCCAGGCACAGCTTCACCCGTGCAACTTGAGTGCCACAGATTGTGAAATTTACCAAGCGGCTGCTCAAGATACCAATCCTGGAAAACTGGCGGCAACATCTTGAAAAGGGACTTCTTCTCCTGGCACCCAGGTTGAAATTCCCTTGTTGCTGGTCAGCTTCCCAGCCTTGGGATCATCCTGCTTGGGCGGACTGGTGGGAAGTTCAGGGACGTCAGACCTGGGCCCAGAACATCTAGCACTGGCTTCGTCCAAGTGCAAAGGGCCCCTTACGTAAATTACCTGCATCTTCAAGCTTGCAATGCTGAGTTGACCTGGAGTGAAATCTAAATACGTCCCCATTCCACATCCGCGTCCCCCACATTCCGATGTCTGCCAGGGGTTGGCTGGCAGGATGGCCAACAGCATGGGGAACGAAGGCCAAGACGGCCAGGACGGCCAGGACGGCCAAGGCCGCCGCCTTAGGCGTGTCATGCGTGCTCACGAGCCTTTAAGTCATCCTGACATGTTGTGCCTATGCCATGCTATGCCTTCATTAGCGGTGGGGACATGGCTGCCAGTCGTTGTCCTGGATTCATCACGTTGAAGGGGATTTGAGCACTGAAAAAATGGCAACCTGAAACTGAAAAAGCATGGCTTCCGCAACCCAAAGCAGAAGCACCGAGACTCAGCGGACACCTCGCCCCACGCCGAGCCGCGATGCCAAGAACGCCTCTGCAGCTCACACGCCGCAGCCTGAGGCACAAGCCAAGCCCAGAGCTGTCGAAGCCTCAGGCCTCTGGGCTCCGCACTCCTCATCGCTCTCACTCCACTCACTGCGCGGTGAGGACTCAATCAGAGACATGGCACAAGACGGCAAACTCTCCGAACTCCGCAAAGACTCCAGCCCCTCGCTTGAGCCAAGAGCATTTCCAACATTCCAGAGCATAAGGGAACTGGGGCCCACTGCGGCCCACTTGCCCTGATTCGGGGTGGGGTGGGGCCCCTGGTACCCATCGAAATCCACAGACAACCGATGCAAAAGCAAACTAAAAGGCACCACCACAACTCCGGCCAAGAGCCCAACTAGCTCCCTCTCAGCCAATCGCTCCCAAAAACGACTCGAGTGAGAACTTGTTTCCATTTTTTCGTCCGGGCTCAGCAGTAGGAAGGTGGTTGCCTTCTCACTCTTCCACGGCCATGACACCGGATCACTGGTGTACCTCAAGCCGTGATAATGTATTCTTTTCTAAGGCATGGCTCCAGACGTCGCGTCACTGCCTCTCTCCCTCTCTCTACCTCTGCCCCCCCTCCCCCCTGGCATCTTTGATGTATGGCGACCATTTGCTTCACAAGTGGTTGCTCCACCGTTTCCACGAATTTTGGTTGAAAGGGTCCCCGTCCTTCAAACATAAAAAACAACACGCAGGGAACAATTCTTCGTGCCGAGGTGCTTGCCCCCCAGGTGGTGGCAGGTCAAATGGCACACCGGCACACCCTTCTCCGGCTCGCCCTCTTCCACCTGCTTTGTGCCTGTCGGCCGATTCCGGATATTCCACCTGGTGGATGCCGGGGTGCAGCTCCCCAGTTTCAACCTCCAAAAGGGGAGACCAATCAAAATCAAGCTGCAACTTCCCCTGAAAGTGAAGGTGGGTTGTTCAACATGTGGAGATCCTGATTGTCCCAATCCGTAGCTCGTAGTGGCACATCAACTGCCAACTGGTTCCCATTCAGGTGGCTAGCGGAAAGCCGCGGGGAAGCTTATTCCAACTGTCTGAGCTTTCGGCTCACCACGTCCGGGGAGCGCTCAAAGGCTTCGCCTAACACAAAGGCACTGGAAAAACAAAGGAAAGCTGTTCCTGGTGAGTATTTTGGGGGGCCCGGGTTCTGGAATTTGTCGCGTTTGGCGAGGTAGCAACAATTGGCATGCTTTGGCGTGCTGTGCTGAGAGGCGATCCTTTGTATGGCGGGAAGGCCAGGGCCGGATTCAGCGCAGCCTCGAGGCTTCAAACGCAACTCTTTGCGACTGCAAATCCGCCGGAGCTAAACGCCACTTGGCCTGCATCGCGGCATTGGCGGCCAGGCCGTTCCTGCCGTGCATTGGCTAAACAAAAAAATCAGGCAGTATGCACTTGCTGCGAGCTTTCTTCATGGGACACACATGGAATCCACAGCGCGTGCGCGCCTGTGCGCTGCCTCATACAAGGTCTTCTCCGCCTCTACTGCCGTCTTGGAGGCCTGCTCAACCTCAAAACAAGGCTTTCCACTCCAAACCGAAAGGAAAACTTTAAAAAAAAAAAAAAAAAAAAAAGAAGGTGGTGTTCCCTCTAGATGAGTCTTCCCCTTTGGGCAGCCGGATGTATAGTGGACATCTTCTGCGGGGGCCGAAGGCCTGGTATCGGAGCACGCGGCACTCGTGCGGCTGCGCATGAAGGTACTTCTGCAGGACGAGCATCCGCTGATGCCTGTCAATTGATCAATCTGAGAGGTTGGCTTCCGCGACTCGCAGTCGCACCAAGGCCCATTCGTGCAGAAAGCTTGCCAGGCCAACTGTATCTCTCTCCCTCTCTCTCCATCTTCCTTAGCCTTCCTTAGCCTTCCTGGCCTTTCTGCCTTCGACATCCCCGGGTGTCGTTCGGGAAGCGGCAGGGGAGGACAAATCTTGTCCACCTGGCTCACACTCCTTTTGCACTCAGACAACGTTTTTGTGTCATTCCAAACTTCAAGAATCACCTGGGACAAAAGGGCTGTGGTGTCGAATACACCCCCAAAGCGGGAGACATGTGCCGTCGCCCCTACCGAGTTCGGGATGATTTGACGAAGCCGACTTCCCGAAGGCCTGCCCCTGGAGCCAGGTGCAGGCATCCACCACCGCCTCCATGCTGGCCTAGCCAAAACGACGTGAGACGCTGAGCCGTGGAACCCGCAGAAACGACCTTCCTATAAATAAGGGGACGTGGCTGCATTTGCACGTTGCAACATGTGTGGTGTGCCACGGGGCCTGACGAAGCCACCGGAAGCCGCTGTTCTTTTGTTTCGCTTGGGCCACTTTGGGCCTTGAAACTCTCCAAGGCCTCTCCGCAGCTTTAGCGGGGAGGCCTACAATGAGTCCGGGAGTGGCTCCCAGGCATGGGTCTTCTGCCCCAGGACCAGCGAGCTTGCGCTGCGGCTCTTCATGCCCCAACATGTCCTGAGCCGCGCCAGGGTCACCCCTGCCCTCTCCCTTCACACCCTCTTGGGGAAGACGAAGCCTACTGGAGTTGTATTGAGGAGTGGTGGGTTTGCAAGCTCAACAAGGTGTCGCAAAGAACGGGCCGAGTAGCGCCACATTGTGACAGAACTCGAAGAATATTTCCAGGTAGGTCTCCACCTCCAGCGCATTGTTCAGCCTCAGGCTGGCATCCCGCAATCCGATGGACTTTTCAGTGCTCTGAGCTCCCGTCAACCCTCGAGAAGGGGTGTTGAGTGAATGGGTTCATCATACTTGAGGATATTCCAAAGCCTTGATCCCAAGGCCGGGGCTTCTCCATGACTTTCTTCTGCCTCAGGCCATGCCGGTGTCTTTTCTTTTCTTTTTTTCGCGACTTTTTGAGCTTTGCTTCGGGGCAAACCAAGGAAAATCCAACCATTCAAGTTCCAAACCTGGAAGGTCGCAGCTGAGGCGCTTCTCTTGCGATAGGAAAAGGTACTCCTTGCCACGCCGGTACAAGAGAGCCTCAAACGCAGGCAGCGCAGAGCACATCTCAAGAGCCGGCCCCGAACCCCCCCGCCTCGGCTTCGGCACCATCCCGACACAAGAGCCGTCGAGAGTCTGGGTCAATGTCCTCACGTCGAACTGCTCTGACTCGAGTCACTTTCTCGGTTCTAAATCCCTGGAGTCCTTGAAGTACGCACACTTCAGCACGAAGGCCGGGTTGCCTGCAGGCAGGTCAAACTGACGCGTCGGATCAGATTCAACATGTTCCAAAGGCGGTTTCCCTTGTGTTTTTGGACTTCCAACCCCAAATTCCCCCCCCCCCACAAAAAGACACACACCAAGGGAGGCACTCAACATTGTAAAGTCGGATGGGGCTCAAGAAGATTCAACTGAGCCCAATTAGGAAACAGTCGGATTCATAAAATTGAAACCCCAAAGGTGGTTCCCACAAAAGTAATCGTGTGATTGTGTAAACACCCGAATCAAACGCGGCGGAGGTGCAGTTGTACCAGGAGTAGGGCACCTGGCGCATCACATCCTCCACGGTCTCGTTCTGAGATGCGGAGGCGTCGCTGCCGCGGAAGGGTCGGACCACCGAGAGGTACGCCACGACCTGGGAAATCGCCATGCGAAACGGCAAGCAAAGCGGTCGGGCCCAGGGTTGCGGGATGCGCAACCCTTGAACTACCCTAACGAATCTTCCTCCCGACGTGCCTTTCAGATCCCCACCCCGAAAACTGGAAAATGGCAGACCCCCCGCCCTCCTTGGAATGAAGCCTCAGCGAAAACCCCAATGAAGCCAACCCTGTCTGGGATGGGCCCCCGGAAACAGTGGGCGGAAGAAACCACTGAAGGCTTGTTCACACATTTCTGGATGTCCTCATTCATTCCTTTCCTGGTTCCTGGTACCCACGAAAGGGACATGTGATTTTGGACATATTGCTTTATTGGGGGCGCTGCACCTTCTACACACTTATGGGGTGGGATGTTCTGCTGGGCGTAGTCCCTTCTCTTGGCCTCCGGCCCATAGAGAGCCGGCAAGAGTCACTGCCAGCAGCAGCACCAGGATCTGCAATGCCAGCGGCAGTGCTGGCACCCAGGGCAGCATGTCGGACCTGACACTTTCTTTCACTCTCCGTCCGCTTCACTGGGCCGTTCGAAAGTGGTCCGACTTTCCATCTGGGAGGCGAATTGTTGTTGAACGCAACTCTTCTCCCTGCTCTGCTCTGTCCTGATAGCATACGGACCCCTGAACAAACCTTCTGCCGGGGATGGCTCCGGACTGCCGGGACGACATCCCTTGACTCTTGACCAGGCGGACTGGATCACGGGCGCCCGGCCGCACGGCCCACACGAAGGCAGACCCCCCGAGGCAGCCCATGGGCAAAGCCCACAGCAGCCACGCCTCGCGAACTGAGCTGACCGGCCGAGTGCCACTCGAACGGCCCCGTTTGTTCCAGGCGGGATCCTTTTGGTTCTTTGCACTCCGAAGATCGGGCTAACGAACTCCATGCCAAAGCCTGTCTTTGGGCTCGCCCCGAGCCCAGTGCCGAAGTGACTCCGTGGCCGGGCGGCTGCCGTGTCTACCAGGTGCCCGTTGAAGTTGGAGGCTGTTTGGACCCGCAAATGCATGAAGCGCGACCACAGGGCGAAGAACCTCCAGTTGAGATGTTCGGGTCACGAAATGCAAAGCATCTTGCGTGTGCCTTATGCAACTTCTTTGCAAATTGGCCCATCCTTCATGCGTCTTCGTTGCCACTTGCCAAAGCGTGCAAGCCCAGGCACACGCACCAAAGGGTCAGGGCGGCAAAGAGTTTCCACCTCATCCGGCCGTTCGACTGGGCAAACAATGAGCCGGGCAAGTCCAAAATAGGACCTCTGAAAATGGGGTGGGTTATGCCCGGCCTAGGCCCCCAGTTATGAGTCGTGACTTGGCCGACTTGGCTGGTCAGAACGAGCACCCAGCGGTGCCCTGCGGCCGGGCTGCACCGACTCGGAGATCAGCGCCGTCACCAAAAGAGCCGTGGCCATGTGAACGATGAAGGCGGTGTAGTCCCAGGCAACGCCCATCTCTGGGGCTTCCAGCGCCTGCTCTCGGTTCCGCATCTTGCGCCCTTTATATGTGTTTCCTTCAATTATCCAAGTCATCCCATTGCTTTTCCTTAAAAAAAAAAAAAAGACCAGTGCAAAAACCCGCAAGCCTCCGAATCCCCCCGAAGAAGTTCGGAAGGAACCTTGGGGGCCGAATCACTCTCCCTACCAATTTCGACCCCTTTTGGAAACTTAGTACAAAGCCAAAGCAAACCTGGAACCACTTAAAGGGACCCTGACATGAGCCAAAAGGCTTAAAGGCTGTGTTGGGCCAACCCTTTGCTTGACCATGTGCAACTCGAAAGCGCCCGGCTGGTCCCCCCCGCTGCCACCTTCTCCGCGTTAAAGCGGGGATAGAGATCAATGCCATCCGGCGCCCAGGGCAGGATGAGCTTCAGCACGTGGAGCAGACAGTCCGGCAGCGACCGCCACACATAGATGATCTTCGCGACCTTCGGAAGCAAAGCTTTGAAGACCTATCCATTTGCTTTTCATGTGGCGTCCAGGCCTCAGGTCTGGTGGCCACTGAGCACAAGCACGGAAACACGGCACAGCGGCATGGGCGGTGATGGTCACTCCAAGCTCCGCGCCAAGGTGTGCTGCAAAAAGGGCACGGCTGCACCCATGACAAAGCCCATGATGTAGTTGATGTACAGCACGCCTGCGACAACCCACTCGTCTCACGAGAAAACAATGAACCTGGGACTGTCTCACAATGAGAAAAAGCCTTACAAAAGGGTAGGCCTGGCACGTGCATATTGTAAATGGAGTCGCCGATGTCCGCTTCCAGTCCTGAGCATCTCCAAGCACACCAACCACCTCTGTAAAGGGTTCGACTTGTCTGGGGGGGCAACGGCTAAGCCTCTTGCCAAGACCAACGTCCACTCACTTGGCTCCCCCTTCCTTCGAGGGCCCGGCCGATGTTCCCACTCAGCGCCAGCGGCTGCAGGAGGTTCACTTCGCTGCCGTCGCGGCCCACCGAGGCCCACACCGCCACCTCGCGACATCTCGCGCACTCTAAAGTTCGATACGCGCACGAAAGCCCACGACTTGTAATAAGTTCAGTTTCCCTTCAAATGTTGATGTTCGGCAGAAACCCGGAAAATGTGCCGGCCTTTACTTTTGCAAAAGGAGTGAGCGTGTGCAAGTCCACTGCTTCACAGATTGGATAAAATAGTGCAAGTCAATGGTGAAAATGTTGAACAGCTTGTAGAAATTGTTGCCCAGCCTGCGCTTTCTAAAACTAACATACTGCGAGCAGTTCGAGAAACCAAAGCCCCCTCACGCGATTTTGTCTCGATAGCCGAATCCGGGCTCCCAGCCGCCAAGCTCACCCAGGTGTTGAAGAACTGCACCACAGTGTTCAGCACAAAGATGAAGGTGTCGCTCCTCTCCTGCCGAAAAAAACAGCACTGCGCAGAACGCAAAAACCACCCCGTTCCGAGAAGATTTCTTGGCCGGAGACTGTGCGCGAAGGGTTGGGCTCCCCCTGTTCAAACATGTTTATCAAGGCTAGTGTTTGATGTTGGCTTCCCTTTAAGATTAGGGTTGCCGGGGTTGCCTGCTGCCCAAGATGCCTTGCCAAGCTATCATGACCTTCTTGCGAGCCGTGCTGACGAAATGGCGAACAAAGGCTGAACTGCGACTGTTCCATTGTTTGCACGTGATGCTGCGATGTTGTTTTCTTCAGCACCTGATTACGCTTGTGTTCTTGTCGTCTTGTTTTGCTTTTCTATCTGCACTTTCTGTTGGGACTCGACGTCATTGCACTTGCGCTTGCTTAAAGAAGTTGCCGGTATCGACACCGAAATGCTAGAGGCTAGCCATCCATTTCCCCGCCTTTCTCCTGAAGCCGGCGAACCACGCCTGGTTGTAGACCTGTAGCGTGGCTCTTGCGGTTTTCCTGCAGAATGTAACCCCATGACACGGTGACGCCTGGCAAGAGATCTGCTGATTGACCAGTCCCAGCAGCATGCCAGCGATGCCCTGACCTTACACATTGAGCTGAGGGTTTCCCCGGACCTCCAGCGCATGTCCATCCTTATTTCCACTGGTTTTGAAGGGTCCCCCCTCCAAAATCCAAACACTAATCACATAAAGGAGGCAGAGCATTGGAGGCGATGCGGTTTTCAAAGCACCGATCCGAAAAGCGCGATATGCCCATGCTCGTCTAGGGCCCGGCAGGGGCCGCCAGCATCCTGGCCAGATGCCATGAAGGTGCCCACTACGAAGACCTCAAAGTCACGCTGATGGCGACAAAAGCGACTCTTTACACTTTACATGGCTCCTGAAGTCTCAGCTGGGTTGGTCCAAACAGCTCAACACATTCAGCGAGGGCTTAGGCAATCATGAAAGCCCGCACCCCAAATCCCATCAATCCTAAGAGAACCATGTTGCACTCGATGGCATTTAGACAACCATCGTACGGGTTATGCAGTCGCTAAGGAAGCCACGACCATGACCCAAATGAGCCTTGACTCTGGCTCAGAGGGCAACGAATCTTTCTGTTTGGAACTCCCTCCGAAAATGGTTGGTGGGCATACGCCGCTTCAAAGGCTAAATGTCCGCTTCGAAGTCATACCCCCGAGCGGCATTGTAGGGCAGGATGACGAAGCAGTTCACCTCAGCTCTTATTTGGCGCTTATTATTTTTTTGAAACAGATCAGAACCTGGGCCGCTTTACAAAGGAATCAAAAGGAGGTTGCAAGGATGTTCAAACAAACAACCCTAATCCTCTTTCAAGGGGAAACCAAAAGGATGGCGCACATCACAGTTCCCCAACGATGTTGAAATTGGGCGGTCCCGCACTCAGGCCCTGACGGCAAAGAAGAAGAGCACCACCTTCAGCGCGCCCTTCCTCACGTGTGAGCTACGACCAAAAACCACCGTCTTCATGGAACCTCCAAATGGACCCGAGGGAAGTTTGACCCTGGAAAAGGGAAAGTGAGATGACTCACTCCGAGCGGCGCAGCGGCCCTGACCACCGTCCCGGTGTCGTTGTGCTGATTTTCCCAGAAGACGGTCACGGGATCGAAGTCCACGGACTCCAAAGCCTGAGATGGCTTGGGCCCACGGAAAACAACTCAAACAGAAGAAGTCCATGTGCCGATTCTGGTGACTGGCTGGTGACTTTTGGTGACCCCTGACCTGAGCGGCCCATGTCTACAGCTGCGTCGCTAAAGGAGGCATCCCAGGAATATCCAGCAGCGTGCGGTCGCAGCCTCGGTAAGTGCGGAGCTGGACACCCGGCGGCTCCTCGGCACAAAACCGAGCCGCCGTACCGCTCGAGGACCTTGTCCCTCACCTGGGCCTCCAGGAAAACCACAAAGGCTCTGCCGGTGGACTTGAGCTTCCTGGGTGTTCCATCGGACTCTGGCTGAATGGCCCAAAAGAAGGACCGAGCCCAAAGAGAGTGCCTTAAGACAGGGGGTTGCAACAACAAATGGCCAAGGCTCCCCTCCGCAAAGAGGCTCTGGGCCTTCTCCCGGTCTTCCGCCAGCACCTCTGTCAAGTGGTCCTCTTCGCGTCGCTGCTCCCAGACGCAGCTGCGCCCAGTCACTGCACCCAGCTCCAGCTCCTCAAGCATCAGGGCGTGCTCCAAGTGCCCACGATTGTGGGAGGTACCCTTTGAGACATAGCCAATTCCCCCAAAATCAAAATGTCCAAGCCAACAAGTGAAGCACCTTCTTCTTGCTGATGTGGGAGAGCATCATCTCCACCTCCGTCTGCAATCGGAAATCCTCGCTGGAAACAGCCTTCACTTGCATCGCACGCCATGTTCTGTTGCAAGTCCAAGGCGCCGAGAAGTCGTAGCAAATGCTGATGCCGTGGATGGGTCTTGCCCCGAGGCCCTTCAGGCGCTGGGTCAGGTGTGCCTCAAGGCGTCGCTTCAGCTCGGCCTCGGCTTTTTGCGCACAGCGCGCCAGCCCACACGACGCTCTCGGCACCTCATCCGTGAGGTCGCTGGGAAGACCAGTCCTCGGACAGTGCTAAGGTCTTTGGTCCACTCAGTGCACTCATTCCTGACCATCTTTCCCTTGCGGTTATGCCTTGTGTTGAGGCACGCGAGCCCGGCCGAGGCTGCGGCAGAAGCAGCGCATAGTCCGAAGTGTCCACGTTCTGCTCGTCAAACCACTGGAAGAAGCGAAAGCAACCTCGCATTGACTCGCTCGTTCCTTCATCGTCACTTGGGTTTTTCAAGTGCTGCCCTGGCACTCAAACTCTGGTGGAGCGAGATGACCTCAGGCCACGCACACATAGCAGGGCATTGGCAAGAACAAAGGCCACCGCAAAAAGCACCACGAACATGACACCTCAGCTTTCACATGGAATGAACAATCGCAGCAAGGTCCTTCCGGATGCTAAAGTGAGTCATGGCCAGTGAATCACTGGAAAATCCAGGTCAAAACTCCATCTGTACAAGGTGACATTGCTGGAAACAAGAAACCCTTCGCGTTCTTGCGCAAGTCTCATGAGGTGCGTTCAAGCAAAAGCCCAAGCGGTGGAATGCGACCGCCTCCAACCCACCCGTGCTTCCGTCGGTGGGGAGCTGGTTGCCTGATGTTTTGTTCCAGAGCGCATCCTGTCTCCTCCTGTCCGGTCATCCGGGTGGTTTCGTCAAGTGAGTGCACATTCCCACCCGCGTCCAGAGCATTCCCCAGAATTCCTTCACCGGACCCTTGCGAGGAAGCATGGAGGCATGGAGGCAAAAAGTTTGATGCCACGACTTGATGGCTATTTGAAGAACGGGTTGCCCCTGGGTTCGACTCTGGGGGCGCCGCAGGTGGCCTGGAAGTTCTGTGTGGCGAAGCTCTGCAGAGCTGCAGCCCGCAGCTCTGGAGTGAAACCCCCGCACCGGTAGAGCGGAGAGAAAAGCACCTCGCAAAACCAAAACAAACAAACAAAAAGACGGCCCTTTTGGCAATGCCGAGTCAAAGCTCCAAACCATGGCGTTTCCCTTCCTATAACCATATGGCTGCTGCCCGGGTCAAGGACTTGTCGAGACGTGAGACCTTGTTGCTGTCCAAGCTGCGGCAGGGGCCGTGTCGGATGTTGAAAAGACATGCTCCTCCAGATTGAGAACGGATTCCTGCGAGCGGCCGCTGGCGGCTCCCGCTCAATCGCTCGGTGCAAAAAGTGCGCGCCTGTCGTGTTGGCAAGTCATCCTTGATGGCATCTGGAGCGTAGAGCCTCCAAGTCGCAGGGGGCAAAGGCTTGCCAGGATGCATGTCACAATGCTGACCCTCCCCAAGAAAGTGCAAACCAAAACATGCCTTGGGCCCCCCAAACGTGAGGAACCCCCAAGTGGAGCTCTGGCAAAGACATCTGCCCCTCATTGGAACCCGAAGCTGAAGAGATGGCCGAGGCACACGTAGAGGCCTCGGCGCAAACGTTTCGTGCCGGGCCGCTCTTTTGCTGAGGCCTGGCATCATGGGCATCCTGTTGCCAGAAGAATCGGATGCCCCGACCAAAAAGGCCAAACGGACTTGAGCAGTGCTTGGAGGCTGCAATAAACGTCTGTCGGCCAACTCCAGTAGCGAATCCGCTCGGGCCAAGGGCGGCCCCTTTTGAACATTCACGGCTAAGTGCTCAAAAGGCAAATTCCAAAACATTAGTTGAAGGACCATTCTGGGTCGTTTGGTGCTGCGAACACTTGGAAAAGGCTGCCAAAGCTGGCTGAGAGCTTCTAGACAAGGCGCGGGGATCCCATCTTCCCTTCCCAGATGTGGCCAAGATGCACAAGAGGCAAACCAGCGAACACAGCAGCACGTGCATGATACGCTTGTAGTACAACGCCACCCCGACTCCTAAGCCCGGGGTCGATTGTGAGCCACTCACGGAATGCCGCGCGCATGCTCTCCTGAAATGTCTTCTTCGAGCATATTCACCTCAGATCCAGTAAGCTTCTTGCTGCAAACAGGGGACTACTGGGGGCGACACGCTAAGATCAAACCAGGCTCGGGGTTGCCTATTGCTGCTTCCATCCTTGGCTCATGCACAATATGCCTAGGATCGTCTCTTTCGTGTGCTTGCTGCCCAAAAAAGCGGCTATGCCAGTTGATCGTAGTTTGCTTGTAACCAGCCGAGGCTCCCATCGATGCAATTTGCACAAGTGTCTATGCCTGCGTGCTTCCACCATATGCTGCAGGTTGATCTCCTCAGTTCGAACGGCGCCACACTGGCCATGGGAACGTAGGTTTGCTTCAAGTGCCGCATACGGTCCAAGCTCCAGTCCGCAAAGCGACTCCTCTTCCCGTAGCAATAGCAAATGAAGACAACCAGCAACTCAGCAAGGCAGATTTGCAGAAAAGTCACGTGTACACATGCCAACTTTGTAGTTGGAATTGAGAAGCGTGTAAAACTGTCATTGTTTTTGTTGCTGTGCGCATTGGTGACTTGTGTGAGGCCGTCACTAGGAAAGCCAGCAGCACGCTGAGCCCTTGCAAGACCTGGGTGGCGAAACGGCAAGCCACGCACCAAGCAACACCAAGCAACGCAGGCTTCGTGCAACTCGGGCACACTGGCGCTCACCCCATTGGAATCCAAATAGAAGGCGCAGCGCTCATCTTGCAAAACGAAGCCTGCGCTTGCACAGCGCAACTCCCAATTGGTCCCAGCCTTGCCTGGGAAGCACTGTGCACAGCTTGTTGTTGATGTGCAGAGCTGGCAGCCTGCAGACTTCCCAAATGGACCACACATCCAAAGACTTCGGGTTTCCTCATTTACAAGTCCGATGGCTTTTGTTTCAAAAGATTTCGGGCCCAACCCGGTCCTACCAAACCGCAGGGCTCGCAAATGCCGCTGTCCAAGTTGGGCAACGCGTGGCCAGGGCTGAAATCTCCACAATCCTCACTCTCAAGCAGGTTGCGCATTGTGATCGGCGAAGAAGCTGCCGTGTTGTCGACCCAAGACTAAATCTGCCCCCAAAGCCATTGCCAGTGGGGTCCCTTTGTAGTTGGGATTCCTTTCTTGAATAGCTGGGTTAATGGATCAGGGAAACACCCCTCTTACTCTCACACATCTCAACACTCGGCGCTCCTCCGGCTTGACGCAGGTGAAAATGCAAGGGAAGTTCCGGCTGGGCGCAACCAGCGGGCAAGAAGCCTCCCAAGGACATTCGTCAACTTGTTCCGCTCAAGGGCGCTCTGCAGATTTGCAATTGGGTTGTTCAAAATCGTGGAAACAGCCTTAACCCGTGGTGGACTTATCCATATATATATATATATATATACACATAGATTTAAGGGGTAAAATTTGGACAACCCAAACAAACTTGCAGCCCACGCGGCAGGACACGAAATTTGGGCGTAGCTCAGCGAGCAATTTGTGTACTGCAGCACCCCACATTGACCAGCCATGGTGGAAGGAAGCTCGAAGCCTGGCAGCTCAGTTCCCATGGCCCATTTCCCTCCCATTGGCATTTTGCCCCGCAAACGCGTCGATTGGGACCGTGGCGGGCCTGTATCTAGGTGCACCGCTGCCACGCCACATTTGCCGTATTTCGAATCAACGATCCTTAGCGGAAGGGCAGCATGTCAACCGCGGAATTACCCCAACGTGCCAAGGCTCTTCAGAGCTGCCTCCGTCGCCGTCTCCAAAGCATCCTCGGCGGGAGGAAATGCCCAGAAATGAAATGAGGAACCCGGCATTCAGCAAAAGAAACCCCTGAGCAGGATCACATGCAACATAGCGGCAGTCTTTTAGAGAGATCTCCTTTGCGGTGACCCTGTCTTTTTGGCTGTGGAATTGCCCGGCTGCTAGTCGCAGGATGAGAACGCGGATTTATTCCAGCCCGAAACGGCAAAAAGCAGAAAACACGGGACATGTTTTTGTGCAAACAAAGAAGTCGAAAGCAGAAAAGTTCTGCAAGCCATTCCAGCAGCCCTCTACTTTTGCGCGCGCCGCCTAATTTGTCCGGCGTATTCTGCAGGCACAAAAAGCATCCTTCGAGCCCTACGAAAGTATCAACAATCTGACCCTAAGTTTTTGGCAGTGGAATTGCCCGGCTGCAGCAAGGATGAGAATGTGGATTGCAGTCTGTGGAAACGGTGCTTGCTCTGTTTGACTAGGGCTGGTTTTTTCCTCGGGCTGGTTTTCCACACGGCTAGAAACATCCCCAGCATCACCAGCATCACTTGGACCTGGGGTTGCTTTTTGGCTCTGATTGGGTGGCAGTTGGGAGTTGCTGGGGGCTAGTTTAAGTTAGGGAGGTCTTGGCTAGCTTAAATCTTCGTGGGGGTTCTTGGGGTGGTTTGGGGTTGATTTAGGCGAAGCGAAGGGCTGACATCCAGGCTGCTGTTGGGCGGGTTCAGGGTTGACTTTGAGTGGGTTTGGGTTGGTTTGGAGCTGATTGGTGTTAGGTGCGTGCTGGTCAGCAGCGGCTTTAGGGTTGCCTTACGCGTCACCTGATCATGTTGTAAAATTCCTGTGTTGACGCAAGTATGTCAAGGACCGATGCAATGCAGTGGAGAGCTTGCACAAAGGCAATGATTGAAGGTCTGAGCATAGGAACTCTGCTGCTGCATCCAACCAACGCATAGGGAAGAGACCCTGATCAAAACAAGAACTGCCCCTAAATGGATCACCAGCAAAAGTCACAAAATGGGTCGCTGCTGTTTCGTTTTCATTAACTGCCCTTAGATTTGCCCTCTGCACATGGCTTTGTCGTTGCTGTTCGGTTTGTTGGCATTCATGTCTTCCATGTCAGCTAAGAGCAGAAGGAAACAAATTTCGCAAGGCTGTAGCCCATCATGAAAGTAAAAGATCTGAGTCATGCAATGTGAGGAACAGCACCGCTCCCACTCCGCACAACCCATCCGGTTCAAGTGTAATGTTGAGAATTCCTCCCTTTGCAACCACTTTGACTTTCAGGGACCCAGGAGTCGCCGGAAGCTGATTTCCGCTGGCGCCTCGTCGCGCCGCTTTGCGGAGGCGAGGAGGATGGCGCGCGCCCCGGTCTCGGCCGCGTCCTCACAAATCCGTGGCTTGAAAAAGGGAACGAAAGCCGACGCCGTCTTCAAGTAGCACTGGTGCCCCCCAAGGTCAAAATGCCAAATCTAAACATGCGGCAAAGCATGCGTCAGGGCAATGGGTAACAGCACAAGGTGCAAAACCCGAAATATATTGCAGAATGCACCTGCGGAGACCCCCCCCCCCCCCCCCGAAAAGCCGCTTTGGCTAGACCCGGATTCCCTCTCTAAAGGGAAAGCACCCCATGTGCTCACATATCTTTCTCCCTCGATCATTTAGGTCTATTTGAGAGGTACCCATGTGACGTGTTTGTTTGATTTGGTACCATTCGCTGTGCTTTTGTGTTTTGTTTGCTTTCGGGGGGGGGGGAGTTTTAGGAACTGACCGTTTACAGCTCCTCTTCAAGACACCCATTTCCAGCAGCTTTCTTGCCATTGGCGGTGGGCAACGCAAACAACAAGAACTCTCATAGTCCAAACCAAAAAGGTCTTGCAGCGCAGCGCGCATCGGTATCTCACAAATGTTGAAGTCGCCATCCAACACGTATAAAAACCGAACAATTCGAGGTTTGCAAAAACAAAATTTGACAAAGCTCTGCGAAAAGCTCACGTTGCACAAATCAATCACACACACACACACAAAAAGGAGAGATTCCACGTACAAAGCAATGTCGGAACTGCAAACCAAAATCAATGCCGGTTTCAGTAAACCTACTTTCACAGGCCGGGACGGCCAGGGAATGGAGCAAGGAATGACTTGCACCCAAGGCCTGTGTCTTGGCTGCGGCAAGAACAGCAGCTACCAGGAGCCGCAATGCCATGGCTACGGGCTGGCAGACTGCATGCAAGAAAGCTTTTATAGATCATTCTCTTTGCTGGTTGACTCAACACGCACCATCTTACACAGCTCAATATGCAGAATTCAAGATGCTGCAGCTTGCGGGCAAGCATTTCCCTCCCCCTGACATAGCACCTGACAGAAGCTCTGCTGTTCTCCCACACTTGCCATGCTAGTGGGATGAAATTCATCCGAGCCTGGGGAAACAACGCAACCACTCTTCGCAAACCCTTCCCTCGCATCCGTTGATCCTACCGGCAAGCCACTCTTGCACTTGCAGGCCTTCAGCTTGCCAGCCCGCTTGGACGCTTCCCAGAGCCTCGCCTGCAACAGGTGGTTGCGCGTGACCTGTTTGCAAGACAACGGTGTTTCAAAAAACGCATGCATGTAAAACAAGGGTGACTTGGTACAATTGGGCCCGCCTGCGCTATGCTTAACTGGTCTTCTCGCGACCGGTCTTGCCTCACATCAAAGCACACCTTCAACATACGTGGCACCGTGAGCACACAAACGGCAAAAACTGCACCCTGGCCAGCACCCACAATGACACCCTGCAAACCAGGCTCTGCCAGCAATTGCACACCCCAAAGCAGCACCTTGACCACCCGCAACTCGCAAAACACCTGGCCTTTTTAGAAGTTAAAATTAGGAACCTCTCTGGCGCAAAGGAGAAACGCGACGCACAAAAACAAACGTATATAATCTGAGGCGGGCGCCAGCCCCCCGTGACCTTCCATGGTGATATAAAGCCTGGCAAGAGAACGCGTCGGTTCATACGGCCACAACAAGAACGTGCTGTCATTTTTCAGGCCACTGATTTGCGCAAAAGCATGGAAACTGGCTTCATTCCTTGTGCTGAGTTTGTGGAGGCGAACCAAAAACCAGCCATGCAACATCATGCAACATCATGCAACATCATGCAACTTCGTCTGCTGCGACAGCGATCATCGCCGAAAAGAGAATGATGCACAACATGCTCACCAAGTAGCACCGCATACACGCCAGATTTGTGTGTGGGTGCGTGCGTGCGTCTGTGTGTGAGTCCGAGCGGCGCACGGCAAGGAGGAGGTGGGTCCAGCATCCTTCCTGGAAGGCTGCAAGTCGTGCTCGCCACTCCTGTTTGGGGAGCCGACTTTCGCCGACTTTTCTGAAGCAGCACCAAGCTCGAAGGGTTGCTGGAGGGTGGGTCACCCGCATCAGCCAGGGCGGAATTGCGGGGCCTGGGTTCGGAGCGCATTTCTCCCTGCTGCAAAAGTCCAGCAGCCAGGGCAGTGGTAGGGTCAAGCAGGATCCGGGGCTGGGCTTGTCGGCATAGCCTGTTTCAGCGCCCTGTCATTGCCTTGTTTATTCCCTCAGCATCCCACCAGAACTAGCTCGAGGGCCGCCCGTAAAACTGGTGAGCCATGCTTAGTGTGTCGGTGAGCGGACCGTCCGTCGAGCAACAGAACAGTAGCCTGCGATTCGGCGTCGGTGGCGCGGCCGTCGCGCAACAGAAAGCGCTGACCTCCGGCCTGCTTGGGCCACGCCTGCCATGCCGGCCGCTGAGACCGGGCCGCCGCTAGCGGACGTGCTGCCGCGCCATGGCCCGCTGGGCCCGAGTGGTGTTGCGTTGCGTGGCTAAGCGCCCGCAACTGCCCGCCCCCGGCGCGGCATACAGCCACAGCCGCCCTCGTCAACGTGCGGAGACAGGAGGAAAAAATATTTAGCCAAGGCTCGTGAGACCAGCCTGCGAAGGGGTTTGCCCGTCGAAATACCGCACGGCGGCGCCATGCAAGAGCGACAAGCTGCCTGCATCTTCCACATTCCAAAGCGCCCATAAGGTTGGTGCTCGTGGGTCTGACGCCTCGTCAGCTCTGCAGGAATAGGAGCTGACCGGCCCTGTTCAGGCTCCGTGGTTTTTGTTGTTGTTTTGCTGCTCGCCCCGGTCCAGCCATGTGCTTCGTCTTTTTCCGCCGCTAGATCTGTCCCCGAAACCCCCCCTTTAAGGACGCCTCCGGGCACTGGAGGGCTTTGCATGCTGGCTGTTGGTAAGCCGGGCAGCCTCCGGGCACGGCTCGGCTCAGCGCACGCGGCTGGCTGTCAAGGAGGCTCCGGGCTCGGGCAACACGTCGCTCCACAAGGGCAACTCCCCATCGACATTGGAAGCCGAATGGGGAGGGAGCGCAAGCAAGCTAGCAGCATATGCTCTGTGGGCAGCCGCCGCAAGGAGCGAGCACCACCGCCGGGCAAGGCCCGCGGCGCAAGAGCCGCGGAGGCGCACCGGCGCGGCCCTGGCCCGAGCCTTTGCAAGCTGCCGGATAAGATCAACGGCTTCGGTGCTCCACCGCCCGCCCACCTCGATGGCAAGCACAACAAGGCGGCATCTGGAATTGCCTTGCATCAGCTCGGGATACGTGCGCTCTTTTGTCCTCCGAGCAAGGCGCAGCGCGGCCCCCGCCGCCCGACCTTGGTAGCGTCGGGGGCCGGCTGCGGATGTCAAAGCCGACACCAGGGTAGTGTCGATGGCAAGCTGAGCGCCGCTCCACAAGGGCAGGCCATTGGCAATGACTTCGATGCGGCGGTCGTCTCCGGGGACACTGGCGATGTTCAGGTCCCTTACCAACGTGTGCATGCTGACGGTGGCACCAGCCTCCCGACACACTCTGGCGGCTGCACGTTCGAGTGGGACGCCGCGCCCGCGCAGGACACCCGCCCGAGGGCAAGCGGACCTGTGGTCCCCCAAGGCATCACACATATGACCACACGAGCACCTGGCCGGGCTGAATGGCAGAGGCATGCGTAGGCGTCGCAACAGCAGAACTCGGAAATGCTGCGGTTCGATCACAAGCTCACGACAAGTCGGCAACATGGTGAACACTTGCGCGGCCGCGGGGCCGGACTGCGACAAGAGCATGGCGGCTGACGCCGGGTCTAAAGCACTGCTGCACTCATTGGCGAAGTGCAGGTCGAGCACGGCGGAGGCTGTCTGCTGCCAGCCCCGTCCAAACCCGGGCGAATCATCTTCGACACTGGGCGGCCGAGGCCCATTCTGCGCGAGCAGCGCTGGCCACGTGGGAGCCTCAAAGCCGCATTGGACCAAGTGCGCAACCGCGGCTTGGACCGCGACCAGGGAAGCACAGGCACCGGGCACTGCAAGCTGCTGCGAAAGGATTGCCGCGAGCTCGGGGTCGCGCCTGTGGACCGCCGGCAACGCGTCGGCCCACGACGCCCAAAAAGCAGCTGGGGCGTGCAGCTGGGCACTCCGCAGTCCCAAGCCACCGTGTCTCAAGGCTATCTGGGCTAAGCAAGCCGCTTGCTGGGGGAGGTGGCCACTGTTATCAGCATTAAGTAAGGAATACAAGCACTGCTGAACGGCTTGGTCACTGGCACTGGCAAAGCCTGCTGTCAAATTAGGGGGGAGCATGCGTAAGGCGTAATTAGACCGTGGCGACGCGCAGTACAACAACAAAAGCCAGGCTACTTGCAAGTCGGGTAGGGTCGGAAGGACTTGCAAGAAGCGCAGCTGTCTGTCACTTACTGCGGTGAGCTGAGTCTGCACATAAGCGTCTGTTCCCAAAGGGGCCCCCAAAACCGTGATTCCTCTCTCCTCTGCAGGCGAGGCTTCCGCGCCGCACCAGGCTGTGCCATCTGGCGCGAGGGTGTCCAGTCCGGGCGGCTCAACGGCGGCAGCATTCCACACTCGCGTCTTGGCGTGGTTCAAGGAAATGCGGACTTCCTCGTACAAGCGCCGTGCTACTGCGTCAAACAAGGTCCTAACCCTTTCAGGAGCGGCAACAATGTACAAGTCGTCAAGGAAAGCGAACACCCGTTCCCCTGGCTGCAGCTCTGTCTGCAGAGCGGTTAAGGCACGGTGCATCCCTAGCGAAAACAATGCTGGCATTAAGGGATCCCCCTGTTCCCCTCCTTCTGCCTGGGTGACTCTGTGCGGGCAATTGTTGCCATCTATCCACACATACGTGGACGGCGTGCTATACCACAGGCGAACATAGGGCAACACACGGCAGGCATCGGGCGTGTCCCGCAAGGCCTGAAGCATTGCGAGCCGACTCACATGGTCGTACGCGCCGACCCCATCTACCGACAACACGGTCATGGCGGGCGAGGTTTGCGTGAGGTACTGGAGGGTGTGCACCAGCGCCTCGGACCCACACCGGGTCGAGAGTGCATATTGGTACGGCTGGCACGCCGCATCAAAGCGCTCTGCGAACTGTTGGGCCAAGGTACGCGACACCAGCCTACGAGAACATTACCTACCACGAGGCCACGCACCCCTCCCGAGGGTTTCCGCACTGCCACCATCCGGCCAAGCCCAATCCAGGGAACGACTACTGCCGGGATTTCGGCACGGGCCAAGCGCGCCCCTACTCGCCACAATAGGTCGGAGGCCTCTTCATCATCAAGGACAAGCCGAAGCATCTCTCCGGTAAGGCCGCTCGGCCCCGGCGCCGCTCCTCGACGTGACCGCCGCAGATTTGCATGGAAACACTCGGGCAATAGCTCCACGGCACGATCAGGTGCCCAATCACTGAGGCCCTGGGGAATGGGCTCGTACTGTTGGTTCGGGCGACTAGTCGGGTCCGTGAGTCTCTGGAGGGTGTCCGCATCCCCTGGTGCCAAAGGATCAGCCATGAGCGCCTGGCGTGCTGCTGACAGTTCCCCCAAGCGTGCCAAACGGACAGCTCTGTCGGCCCGTCTTGCTGCATCATCTCCGGGTTGCCCGGTCTCGCGGTGACAAGGGTCAGGAGCTTCTGCTGCTGAGGGCTGTCCTTGAGGGAACGCACCGGACGCTCGGACCAGCGCCTGCCACCGCCCGTGGAAAAAGTCGTCAAAACGGGCGAGGAACTCTCGTTTGGGCACACTGCTCCCGGGGTGGCGAAACAACAACATGCGTGGCAGGAGGAGCCAAATTTTCCAAGCTTGTTCCTGTCCGAGCCCTTCTGGTGAGCCGGCGTGGTATATCAAGTCAAGCGCGAACCGGAGCGCTTTCCGCAAAGGCCCTTTTAGGAAATGCGGG